TATTCTGTTATATGTATGTGCTTTTTATACAAGTCTATGGTTCGCTACATTTGCAGAAAACTTCCTACTTATCTTATGCGAATGTTTACTGGAATAAGGTACATTGGATGAAAGAGTTTGAATTTAATGTTCTTCACTTTCTCTTCCCAGGGATCATGTGTTAAGCAACTGTCCGGAAAAGGAAAGATTGATGACACTCGTGCAACAAAGGAGCTTGTTTCGCTTTTAAGTGCTCCCTTAGAGAAGTATAATGATGTTGTCACCGCCCTTAAATTAACTAACTATCCCCTTGTAGTGGAGTACCTTGATACCGAAACAAAGAGAATAATGGCTACTGTTATAATTCGAAGCATTATGAAAAACAATACTCTTATTACTACCGCGGAGAAGGTACGAATTTTTTATGCCCTTACCCTTTGGGTTGAACTATTTGTGTGGTAAAATTGAGTTTTCTTTGTCTTGTTTTACTTTGGTAGGTTGAAGCATTGTTTGAACTGATTAAAGGACTTATCAGCGATTTGGATGAGCCGCAAGGTCTTGAGGTTGTTATAAGCATTTTGTTATACTTTCTATCTTGTACTTCGAGACATATCCTCTCAATTACTTGTGAATACAGATATATGAGCCAGAACCCCAAAAGAAAGTTGAATTTTGTCTTCTGTACATATCTTTCTACGCTCTTAGGTTGATGAAGATGATTTTGAGGAGGAGCAGAATTCTGTTGCGCGTCTCATTCACATGTTATATAATGATGACCCAGAAGAGATGTTTAAGGTGCATGAAGCTTTTGCACATTCAGATTCATTCATGTGTGTCATATCTTTATGTTGACATTAGGCTTCTAGTTATTGGCTTACATTTAGATTTTAATGTTTTATGGCATTTATTCCCAATTGCCTTTATTCTTTGTTTGTAATTTCCAACTCAGTCATAGATTTTACTTATCACCAGGAGTCATCATGCCCTTCAACATTCTATTAAGGTTTTGGCTTTCAGTGTTTGAAGCTGTTTAATTGAATTTCAGATAGTCAGTATCCTGAAGAAGCATTTCCTGACAGGAGGGCCAAAGCGCTTAAAGTTCACCATTCCTCCCCTTGTTGTTTCTACTCTAAAGGTTTGATTTCTTAAACGAAGTTATTCAAAGTACATAGAGTTCAGTGTTTTGATGCCATTCTTTAAAGCCCCTCATAATTTATGTTGAGTTCGATTTGCGATGACTAGGCGATGACATGGTTTGGTTGTTTCTATTTATCTGCCATACCGCATAGAAGAGTATCTGATATAGTTTGTTAAATTTTTCTTCATCAAATTTTGTAATTTTTGTTATCTGTTTTGTTTAAATCTAGCTAATCAGGCGATTGCCAGTGGAAGGAGACAATCCTTTTGGAAAGAGGCTTCTGTTACTGCTACTAAAATATTCCAATTTCTAAATCAGGTAAGCTTCATAACTTTTCACTGCCTATAGTGTTCAGATCTGTTTTCCTAGGTAGAACAATGTGTCTCAGAGCTACATTACTTTATTTAAACTTGGCTAAAGTTAGTTCATACTAGCTGATTGACAACATTGAAAATTCTCAATCGACAGTTTGTAGATATTAGCAAAGGAGACTGCTGTTATTGCTCCGTCTCCGCTACAGTAATCAGTTCTTGTCTTTATCTGTTAGATTTTTTTGCTTGTTGCAGATTATCGAAGCGCTACCTAATGTTCCATCACCTGACCTGGCATTCCGGTTGTACTTGCAATGTGCTGAGGTAACTAATTACCTGTTTATTTAGTATGCACTTGCTCGGTAAAATGCTCACAGAATTTTCCTATTTCATCAGGCTGCGAATAAGTGTGATGAAGAACCAATTGCATACGAATTTTTCACCCAGGCATACATCTTATACGAAGAAGAAATTTCGGTTAGTTATGTTTTCGTGGACGTTCATATGTCTCGTGTCTAAACCAAAGTAACTAGGTGAGTTTAACTCTCTCTCATGTGTCAAAAACTTGCCTTTTGAACAGGACTCAAAGGCCCAAGTGACCGCGTTACAACTTATAATTGGAACTCTGCAAAGGATGCACGTATTTGGTGTTGAGAATAGAGATACATTAACGCACAAGGCTACAGGGGTATTTCATCTTGATATGTTAATTAGTCTCTTGCCATATTCAATTGTCTCTGCTTAAAGGCTGATAAGGGAAAACTTATCCCCTTGCAGTATTCAGCGAAACTTCTAAAGAAACCTGATCAATGTCGAGCTGTTTATGCCTGTTCACATTTGTTCTGGCTGGAAGATCGTGAGACCATACAAGATGGAGAAAGGTAATACTTTATTCTGTGCGATAGAGCACAGTTCGTTTAACATAGCTCATCAGGTAAATTACTTGAAATCAGGGTTCTACTTTGTCTGAAACGAGCGCTTAAAATTGCAAATTCGGCTCAACAAATGGCCAACACAGCTCGGGGTAGTACAGGATCTGTCACCCTCTTCATCGAGATACTAAACAAGTAAGCGCTTTTTTGTTTTGTTTTACATCTCATTTTCTAAACCCTTGTGAACAGCAAGGAGCATCACATAATGTGAATTGTCTCTCGCAGGTACCTTTATTTCTATCAGAAAGGGGTTCCACAGATAACAGTTGAATCAGTGGAAAGCCTGATAAAACTAATCAAGAACGAAGAATCGATGCCATCTGATCCATCTGCTGAATCGTTCTTTGCAAGTACGCTTCAGTTCATGGAGTTTGAAAAGCAGAAAGAGGGTGCCATTGGTGAGAGATACCAGGAGATCAAAGTATAGAATCTCATGTTGGTCAAAGAAGTCGCAGTTATGTTAAAAAAAAAAAAGAGCTTTGCTTTGAGTCGTTTGAGAATCAGGAAGAGACTTGTGTTGATTGCTGCTGGAAATGTAAAAACCCTGGTTTAGGTCTGGTTTTTATACCTCGGATTTTCAAGGCGGTTCATGGTTTGTAACTTGTGGAGTTTGCTATGTTTGTTTATATGAATCTTTATTGGTCACACACTCACACTAGTGAGAGTAATCTGAGTTTAACATTGGATATTAGTTAAGTTTTTCATAAAAAGTTTCCGTTTAATGTATTCTGTTGAAATCAAATTATGCAATTGATGCACGAAAACATTTTCAATATCTATCTAATGAAACTTACAACATTGTATCACGCATAGGTAACAACAACCTTCACTATATGTGTTTGAAGGAAGGCATGATATGTGAATATTGTTGTAGAGAATGTGACATTCAAAATTAATTTACTGTATATATAGAATACTTATTATTTTATTGTTTTTTTTTTTTTTTTTTTTTTGTCATCCGCAATTAATTAGAGCTCAAAAGAGTCATTCCTGAGGAATGTTGTTTACATAGGTGATATGAAGCGGTTCTGTACGAACATTTCGTGCCAGATTATCCGCCTTAACATTAGCTCTACGAGAAATTAAAGATAAAGAAAAAGATGAAAACTCCTCCTTGTCGCTCTGAAATTACTCCAAATACACTGAAAACGCCGGCCATTCGGTTGGAGAAGACACCATCTTCACCAGGTCTGAACAGTCTGTAAAGAACGCTACATCTTGATTATCTGCACCAATCATACACTTCATCGCCCAGAGAAGGGCCTCGACTTCGGCATGTAGTGGAGATAGACTTCTACGGAGGTTCGCAGCTCCCATGGTTGGCGGCTCTCCATTTGACGATGTACAGAACCAGCCTGTACCGGAGAACTTATCACTTTCTTTCCAGGATCCATCCACAAAACAACGGTATCCCGAATACTCCTCCTCAAGTGAAAAATCCCTCACTCGATCTTGATTTACCAAGTCCACAGAACCATGATTTTCGTTATGGAGCTCAATTTGAGCTGACTGCCACAATTGTGCCTCTTTTTCCGCTAATCGTAATACTTCTGTTGGGTCTGTATCTATGTTTTCAAAGATCTTTTCGTTCCTTGCTTTCCAAATATACCAAATAATCCATGGGAATGCTGATGAATCAAATTCCGTAGGTATTCTCCAAAATAAGTGATCCAAATTCGTAAAATTAGATTCCGTGGGGAAAATCCCCATAGCCGTAGGAATCTGTGAAAGTGCCCAAATCTGCCGTGCCGGGTGGCACTGAAAGAGTGTATGATTGATCGTTTCCTCTGATGCGCCACATCTGGCACATCCCTTGTCACAATCAATTCCTCTTTTCCGTAAATTTTCCGTAACCGGTACACATCCCGTTAAGATTTGCCATATGAAATGGCGTATCTTAGGTGGACACTGCACTTGCCAAGAATATGCTTTTAACGGGTTGATGTTAGGGCCAAAAAAGTTTAAATTGGTCTCCGACTTCTCCATCCGTGTAGAATGATATCCCGATTTGACTGTATATTTTCCGGATTTTGCAAAATGCCAACCCAAAGAATGCCAACTTATTATTTTATTGTTTTTGTCAATAATGCTTAATATTTTTTTTATCAAAAGGAATTTCGGTTTACTTTTTTTTTTGCTGAAAAAATAGACAAGTGAAAAAAGAAACTAAAATAATAGAAAAAAGTGAGCCTACTTTATATATAAAAAAATGAATGATAAATTAATTTACAAAAAAAAACAAATTGTAGGTTAAAACTTATTCATGTTTCGTTTTTCATAATTTAGTTCCTCATGTAATAACAAACGCGCTGCATAGGGATTTTTCAAACCATATAATATAATGATATCATTTGAAAAAAAAAAAAAAAAAAAAAAAAAAAAAAGAAACAAAAAAAACAGAAAAGAAACGAGAAAAAGAAAAAGAAAAAAAGGCAAAACAATCGGAGAAAGTTGATGGAGGAGATTGTTCGTATTGTGAACGCTTCAATGGCATAAATTTCCGGCCATCACATTTCTTCTACTTCCTCTCTCTTTCTCTCTCCATAGTTTGTTCTCTCGAATTCGATTCATCGTTGTTCACCTTCATTCTTCTTCTTCTTTGATCTCTTCTTCTCATCTCTCACATTTCCGATTCCAATTAGGGTTTCCTCTTTTAACATCTCTAGGGTTTTTCTTCTTTGTTATGTACCGGAGATGGTGAATTGAAAAGGGAAAAACGCTATTGAGAGCTTATTGTTAGGTTGTTTCCTCAGGTTTTTGTAGATCTGAGGTTGCTATTTTCGAATTTCTTCGCAAGGAGATTCTTTCTTTTTTGTTTTCTCAATTTTGTTGTTGTGTGATCGATCATACGTACGTAGCTCCATTTCTGGTGGAGAAGAAGAGAAATGAGCGCTTCGAGGTTCATAAAGTGTGTCACCGTTGGCGACGGAGCTGTTGGTAAAACCTGTTTGCTGATTTCTTACACCAGCAACACTTTTCCTACGGTATATATATTGTTCCCTTCCTTTGATTGAATCATCATATATCTGCATTTTGATTTGTAATTGTTTTGTTATGCTACATGGATCGATCCATTGTCGAGCTTTGTATATCTGATTGAATCTTGTGAATTTTCTTCTGTGGAACAGGATTATGTACCGACTGTTTTCGATAACTTTAGCGCAAATGTGGTTGTTAATGGAGCCACGGTGAATCTGGGACTATGGGATACCGCAGGTACAAAAAAGTATTGGGTATCTTACTTAGTAGCTATGGCTTTGGGTTCTGAAACTTTTGTTTTGTTGTAAACAGGGCAGGAGGATTATAACAGATTAAGACCTTTGAGTTACCGCGGTGCTGATGTTTTCATCTTAGCATTCTCTCTTATCAGTAAGGCTAGTTATGAGAATGTGTCCAAGAAGGTGCGTTTTTAAAATGAAGTTTGCTACATGTTTTGAAATGATAACTGAAGGAAGTAATTTGGTTGTGATTCTTGCTGCTTTGTTTTCTGTTTGCAGTGGATCCCAGAGCTGAAGCACTATGCCCCTGGTGTCCCAATAGTTCTTGTTGGAACCAAACTAGGTAAGCTCCTTTTTTTGGCATATATGCCTGCTAATTTCCTTTGTGTGATATTCGAGACAAAACATACTCCTTCTTTTTGCTTTTCCCCATTGCTTCAGCTTCTCTAGATAGTTTTGGAACCATTGGACACTACTTTACACTACATTTACTGCTTCTGTTCACGTCGAAGATATATTTAAGCTTTTGCTTCACCAGATTTGTGTTGATAATACATTCGTTGGTTCTGTTTTGATTTGTTCACGTCCAAGATATATCCATGTAGTACCTTTTAGCTCTTTTGATCTAGTGGAAACTAGGCCGGGTTTTTGGAGTATCACAAATCCTGTAATAATCTAGGTTTACAAGCTTGACTGTGATGTTTCTTCTTTCTGTTTAATTAAATATTGGGATACGTTATGGATCAAATGGTTTATCTTATCTCACATTTTCTCTTGATAGTTAAATTGTAAGAGACAACCACATGCAATTAGGGCTGGTTTTCTCAATAATCTAGGTTTACAAGCTTCTTCTGTCAAAATTGGTGTAGCGGATTTTGTTTCTTACTTTCAATACCAATGCTTCACTTTCCATCTAGACCTAATATTTTTGTGACTTTCATTTCGTCTGCTGCTTATTTCTTGTGTTCATCATAATAAATGCCAGATCTTCGGGATGACAAACAGTTCTTCATTGACCACCCTGGCGCTGTACCTATTACCACTGCTCAGGTAAACAGAATTTTTCTTTGAAATGGGTCAATTTACTCAGCTTGGTACTTCAAACGAAACCCTCTTAACCATTCCCCACTTTGGGCATCAAAGGGAGAGGAGCTGAAGAAGCTAATTGGAGCTCCTGCATACATCGAGTGCAGTTCAAAAACACAGGAGGCAAGAAACAAAAACTTCCCTTTTGTTTTGAGTATCATTACATCACTTTGCTTCTTTACCTGAGCTTTTCTCACAGCTTCTGCTTTTTTTATATGAAAGTGCAGAACGTGAAAGGTGTATTTGATGCAGCGATCCGAGTGGTTCTTCAACCTCCAAAGCAGAAGAAAAAGAAAAGCAAAGCACAAAAAGCCTGCTCCATTTTGTAATTTCTCTACGTTTTCCTATCTCTCTCTGTCTCATCCACTCTTCTTCTAGTGAAGGCTTAAAAATTGTTCCAGAGTTCGTTGTGATAAGCTCTCTTAATCCTAAAAGAACCGATTACTTCTGTTTTACTGATGAATAGTTTCCAGCTTTAGCTGAGACCTAATATTGCACTTAACTACTTCTCTATTCTTCCTTCCAGTTCAATGACTAGTTGATGAAGTAGAGATTATAGATTTTCCACTTCAGCTTTAGCTGAGACCTAATATTGTCCTACTACTTCTCTACTCTTAGTCTTTTTGAAACAAACGAACGAAAAGATGACGCTTCACATACTCGGCTGCTCTGGCTCTGCCATAGATGATCACCATGAGTCCATGAACACTAGATGAACCTGCAACACACAAAAAGAGTTAAAATGAAAGTCAGATACATCAACAAGAAGTCAAGAACTACTAATCGATTCGAGTCATTCACATGTAAATTAATCTCATTTCAGTTTCAAAAGTTTCTTACCTAATATATGCTAGAATCTCATACTCCTGAACGACTTCCCACCATTATAGTATCCTCAATTCCATCATCAAAGTTGAGGGAAAGATCTATTCCTTGAGGATCATCAATATCAAATATTTTGCTGATGTACTCATAGAAGCATATTGATCAGTGGTATGCACATGAACACTTTCTGTCTTCAAATATGACAGGACACTGCCTAGATCTTGAAAAGGAGTTCCTTGTGGAGCATCTGCAAAGCAAACCTTTAGGTCTATCCCCTAATACCCATATTTTAACCATATAATAAAATCAGAAACAGCGAACGGTCACACTAGTCCGGGTTCAGCATTTCGTATCAAACAACTGGGACAGATCACATGCGTGTCATATCCTCTCAATACTTAACATTGAAGGCCACATTGCTCACAATATGTAAAACGTGGAACCAAAGATACAGAGCACAAATGAGTCTTGTTGCTAAACGATGCTATTTCAACATGCACTTCGTCGATATTATTGTTCAAATTATAAAATGCATACTGCTTGTTACATGAGAGGGCTCAAGAAATAAATCTTTTTCACATGCTTATTATATACATTATAAGCTGAAAAGAATTTGCCAGGAAGATATTCGATACAAAGATTCTGTACTTAAATAAGAATACATTGTATATATACTTTCTTGTACTTATTATACAGTATAGTATGTTAAAGAGGAGATTCCATACAAAGAATTTGGTAGGAAGATATTCGACATACAGAGATTTTGTCCTCATCATACTATAATATTCTTTTAAATTGTGTCAACATGTTACTGTATTTCAGATGTATCAAATCAAATCAAATTCAGCAGAATAATCCTCTAGTTCTCGTTCATGTTTTAGTTATAAGAATTTTCTGAGGATGTATGACAAATGGCCCATTAGCTCAGTTGGTTAGAGCGTCGTGCTAATAACGCGAAGGTCGCAGGTTCGAAACCTGCATGGGCCATTTTTTAACCCTTAAAACATGTTTAACCCTTTTTATTTGGCCGAGATTCGAATGAACAACATGTTTTTCCTTACCCTTAAAACAACATGGCAATGTCTAAACTCTGAACTTTGCTTAAAAACGGCTGCAAAAGCAGTGAAACTTTGTCGTTTAACTTCACATCTTCAAAACAAGTATACAATGTATTCTTATTTTAAGTACAAAACATTCTTTGTATCGCAGTAAACAAAAAATGACCAAAAAACTGGATTTTCTTTACCCCGAAAAAACTCATCGTCAACTACAAATTCACATATATACAAAATTCAAGATCCCGAACCTACTAAAAGAAGTTCTCTTGTTAGTTTTTAACCCGATGCTTCAAGCGGACGATGGTTTAGTGAGTGACAAAATGGTAGAGACCATAAGGTTTCGATCAATAGGCTTTGTGAGATAAGCATCCATTCCAACCTCCAAGCATTTCGCTTCGTCAGAAGACATTGCATGCGCTGTCAATGCCACGATTGGAATGTGCTGCTCAGTGCCAATCTCTGCTCTCCTTATCGCCTTTGTTGCCTCATATCCATCCATTTTTGGCATCTACCATGAGAAAATGTTGAATAAATGTCATGTCTTTCCATGTCGAATTGAATACAAAAGTGCAAAGTAACTGTACCTGGCAATCCATGAGGATCAAGTCATAAGGTGAGGAATTCCGTAAACTACTCTGCGGATTTATAGAGTTGTTGGCGGTTTCTTCTTCTGACGATTTGTGTTCTTCAGTTGGATCTTGAGCATTGATAGACTTGTAATTGAGGGAATCAACTGCTTGCTGTCCATCCCAGACTGCAGTTACAGTTGCTCCCATTTTCTCAAGCATTATGGTGGCAACTCGTTGAAGAACGGGTGTATCTTCTGCCAGCAAGATCCTTATACCTTCAAGAGATTTCAGATTCTTTCCATCCAACGCAATTCCTGAATACAGCCGATCTTTCCAATCTTCTTCTTCTGGGTTCTTTTGAGTCATACTTGCAGATGTTGAGTCATCATTGCTGTTAGTGGCGTCAATGAGATAGTTCTTAAGAACTGGAGAGTGCAAGGTGCTTGGTTGCACAGATTTATCTATATGTTTCTCGCCAGATGTCTCAGAGGAATCATCGGAACTGCAAGTGTCGAATTGTGTTGGATCGATTTCTAAGCAATCGTGGGATTCATCACTTCCAGTTTCCTCTGTTTCTTAAGCCACTACATCTCTTCCGGTTTTTTATTACAGCCTCCAGAATCTGAATCATTTTGGCCTTGTACAACGGTTTGTTAACCATCATGACATGCCCTTTTCGTCTAAGTTCTGTTTTAACTATATTGGAGGTGTCATGCTTCAGCAGCCAAGCAAACTTTGCTTTGTTGGAGAATCTGTCGAGGTAGTTAAGCTGTTCCTTCCATATATCTGTGGTGAGATCAAGTACTCCGATATCCACCACTATGACAAACACAGGGTTCTTGATTTCTTTTATATTTGAAAGCTCTGCTCTCAGTGAATCAGCAATATTGTTCTGTGAATCAAAGCTGTTGTCACGGCTTCCCATCTCCAAAAGGTCTCTAATGATCTGAGTCAGCTCGTTCCAGTCCGATGCTTCAACAGTTGCAATGCCGTGTGTACGCAACCACTTTGATGTGATCATTCTTGCTGTACTTCCATACATGGAAAGCAAAACCTGTAGCATTCAAAACCAATAACAATTTCACAAACACATAACCTTTACACCAATAACAATTTCTTTCCCAGATTACGTACCACGAGACCATATTTGGAGAAATCTGGCTGGATATTTTGATCTGCAGTTTCAGGAGTACTCAAAATCAAGTACAGTCTCATTAGAGTCCCTAAGCCATTCTTCTGCACTACTTTGATTTCTCCACCCATTTTGTTAACCTATAAAATTACAAAGTAGGTTTCAGATAATTTAATTGCTTCTATGAATCATTAATTCCTTAAGTTTCAAAACTTGACGCACCAAGTTTCGCACGATACATAGTCCAAGACCAGTTCCTCCGTGCCTGAAGAAATATAAGACCAGTGAGATATAAGATTCAACTAACTAACATCACAGTTTTTGCTTAACATTCACTGCTTGCAGTAATCATGATCTCTTACGTCCGAGTGGTAGAAGGATCAGCTTGCTCAAAGCTCTCAAAAACCGAGTCCCATTTGCTTGGATCTATTCCTGAAGATAATATTTACATAATAAAGAGATTTTCAGAATTTGGGAGATTGATAAAGCGGATAGCAAAAGGAATCTAAGGAACTCAAGTGTCATACCACATCCAGTGTCATCAACCTCAAACCAAAGAACCATTTTGTTCGCATTCTTACAACACTTCTGCAAATGATTTCTGTGTTGCACCAGTTTTGTCTTCATTGGAGCCCATGGTTTCTTCCTGTCAACAGTTAAGCTCATCTCATCATGTAGAGAATTTATGTTCTCGCACCATCCACGAAGAATTATGTGACCCGCTGCACAGCAACCATCATTTTATGATTAGCAATGCATTTCTGTCATGAAAAAGAAGAGAAGATAGATGGTCACAAAACTTACTTGTTGTAAACTTTATAGAATTGCTTATAAGATTTGCAAATATTTGAACAAGTCTTGCCGAGTCTCCTCTGACTAACGCTGGCATATCATCTGCAAAAAGAGAAAAATATATGAGAGTTCATAACCCAAACATTCATTGTAAAAATTCATTAGTGGCTGTCTAAAATAATACCGATCGAGTCATACCAGAGAGGTCTAGAACTGTCTCTACATTCTGGTTAATACACTGCACTGAGAACATGTCAACAAGTCCTTCAAGTTCTCGCCCCAAATCGAACTCAGCTTCTTCCAGAACAAGCTTTCCTGACTCAACCTATGAGGTGGAAAAGAAAGATAGCTTGTAGCTACAATTAACATACTAGTTTCGGGAAAATCACAGCTAAAACAACTAAAATGTTACTCACTTAAGCTCACCAAATGTAATACTAAAGCTTGAAGATTTTTTTCATATATCAAAACTAAAGTAAAATTTGTTTCTTATAATTTCTCACCTTGCTCAAGTCCAGTATGTTATTGAGAAGCCGGAGGAGAGCTGTAGAGCACTTTCTGATCTGAGTGACTGTTGCGTATTGCTCATTTGAAAGACAATCATCCGATATAAGAATATCTAGTAATCCAATCACAGCAGCCATAGGTGTCCTCAACTCATGGCTAGAATGCAGAAAAATTCAAAAAGGTCATTTCAGTATTAAGCATTAATAATGTTAAACAATCGGAAGAACTTTTCTCTTGCATATACAGTGATGACCAACCTCATATTTGCCAAAAACTGGCTTTTGTAGTTGCTTGAAGCTTCAGCTCTTCTTCTTGCATCCAGTTGCCTTATCAGTTCTGCTCTTAGTTTCATCTCCTTTGAAACTCCATTTGTGAGAATCAAAATGCAGACACATCCAATAAAGAAGATGCAGACAGAAGCAGAAATCAGTATAATCAAAGTCTTGAAGGCCCTTTCATCCACTTTTCCCATAATGAACTTCCTGGGAATAATGACAACACCTCTCTGCAAAATGCGTAAACAGAAAATTAAACAACTTGACCCTATTGGGCATCTAAATCTAGCTTAGACTCTTGATAGGGACAACTTACAATTGGAAGTCTCTTGAGATTAAGATAGAATGAATCAATGTAATATCGTTGGTCACCAAGCTTTACATTCTCAGCATGAACTTCTTGAGGGCGTTTACTTCCATAAGTTTTCTCTAACCACTGAGCTCCTGCCCTTATAACCCACTCCTCTGAATCAATGGCTTTCATTAGCTTAGGCCCGTTTGTTGTATTTTTTAAAAGAGGACCATTTGTGGAAGTAGCAAGCAAGTATCCTTCCTGAGATGTCAAATAGATATGTCCACCATGGACATCTACAAGATCTCTCATCAACTGCCCTACGCTGTAAAGAGCAGTTGTCACCCCCACAACAGCCACAATACTCTTGTTTGATGCATCAAAGACAGGCAAAGCCGCTGAGAGAAGCGGAGAGTCCATGTATTTGCTCACTGTCACATGCCAAGAAGCTTCACCATCTGGCACTTGTGAGATTCCTGCGATGTTGATCAGATCATCGGGTGGAATTTTTAGAGGCTTTCCCAATTTATCCCCTGTTACTGGATCAAGCTGTTGCTGGTACCAAATGGCAGACATGTTCCCGTGTATCGACTGGTTGTTCCACCCGCTTACATCTTCAGGCCCTATTCCATTGATGGAATAGTTTTTTAGATCGGAGAAGATGTAGAATGTGCTGCTACTTGCTGGATCTCTGTGAAAAGCTTGGACAAATCCATTTCTATAGTTTATAGTTATGGCATTTAGAGCTTTGGCACTAGCAAACAGAGCCCATGTCACATCCTTCATTGCTTGATACATCTGATAAAGTTTTTTAACAAAAAATTAAATAAAGGATCTCAAACCAAACATGGGACCACAAAGAATAGACAGAGAAACAGAAAACGAAACCTCGACGAGCTCTTCTTGAGTTGTTGGCTTGTCAGATTTTTTGATGACATATTCAGATAACTTGACTTGAGCTGTTGTTAGCTCGGATGTGGTGTTTACAACGCTCCACATCCGTAAGACTGGACGCTGAAGAAGCTCGTACCGAAGGCCATATGCTAATGTTTTAAGCGACTGCTTCGTGTAAATCCTTGTGAAATGCCATGTTAGAACGGTTAAAAGCCCTATCAGAATTGCTAACATCACCTGCACACACACACACACACACAAACACAACATCTCAACTCATAAAGCTTCTACCTTTCTCATCAAACGGATTGGTTTTCAAGTTTGATCATAAACTAAACATGCCAAAATCAGAAACTTGATCGGAATTCTCAAAGATAAAATTGAAGAGAAGCTGATGAAATCTAACCATTATAGCGAGACGAACAACAAAGACACTGTAGTAAGAAGACAAACAGTGACTACTTGCGTATTGAAACTCATCTTGTTCAACATCTCCACGCAAAATCATCATCTCTCTTGGACTCTCCAAATTACTTCTCCAAGGGGTAACCCATTGAGTCATTTTATCGAACACCTTCCTGATCTTCATCTTCTTCTTCCTCGAAACCATTGGAGAATCAGGAATATTCTCAATACTCATTGAGAAGCTATCTCCTCTCATCTTGTTTCAGATGATCCCAAAATCACAAACAAAGACACATATTAGGTCTTTGTTGTTGTGAACTTTTGGGTGCTTTGCTTAGTGGAAACTAATGACTATACTGCTTCTTGTGTCACTCCCCACTTTTTAATTAATACGCAAATTAAAAAAATCAAAACTTTAGTAGACAAATCAGAAACCCATGAAGGAAATTTTCAAAAGCTTTAAACTTTTGATTGGAGAAAAACTCTTCTTCGTCCACAGAGAAGACTGGCAAAAATAAGATAAGTTTGGAGACTGTAGAGGAAGCAGAACGATGTTCTGATTTATAAGAGAATAATAAATAGAAAGATGAAATCTTTTTGCTTTATTTAAAGAAGAAATCAAATAAGGGAAAAAGCAAGAAGATTTGGGAAAGGTGATTGAGAGAGAATGATCTTCGAATTTGGCCAGTGGGAATGTGTAGAAGCTAAAATGGCCAATGGAGAGAGATATTTGGCTTTCAGGTCCACAGAAAATATAGAGGCTGTTTGTTAGTACGGTTTCGAAGAATTTTCCAAGTTTTTAAAGTTTTAATTAATACTTAATTTAAAAGAAGATGAAATAAATGAAATTTGAAGGACCCAAATTTTGTCTTGTCTCTATCTCAGAAGGTTTCAAATATTTGTGCTTTGTGGATTGGTGTTTTTGGATTCGTCTTTTACTTATACGATAACAAAGAAAACATATATAAATTATTTGTACGGGTTTATAAATATTAAAGTAACTAAAATGTATATAAAATTGATTGAATTGTTTATTATTAATGGAATTTATAGAGTAATTAATCACACAATATCCCAAAGATTTTAAAAGAGATATTCATTGGATTGTAGCAAAACTGTAATATTAAGTGGGTTGAAAATATCCACAAAATGACGAAAATACATTTATCTCTATGTCTCACATGACATCTGCTCTCATCTGTGTCTTATGAATTTCTATCACTCTCTTTTATTTTCTTCGTTTTTCTTGTTAGGCTTTGCTTTCGGAGTTACTTTGTTTTTTCATCGGCCTAGTTTCTTGAGACTTAGATCATGTCGGCTTTGTGTATCAAAAACGTAGTCCACTTTTTGTATTCTGCAATCGTATTTTAATCATATTAACTCTTTAAGTAAAAAAAATGAGGATAGCAATTGCTTTTATTTTTCGTGTCTATTTTCATTAAATAATCAAAAACATAAAACAATTTCGAAAACAACGATTATATCTATTTTTACCTCGCATATATATTTTCATTTGTCACTTTTTATGTATATAAACCACTTTATAATATTATAATATCAATCAAAATAAAAATATTAGGTTAGTATGGAACTCCATTCTGTGCATTAATTGTTTAAGCTGTACACCTGACTTTTCGGCTATATTAAAGGTTTCATGTTTTTCAGCTAAGTCACTTCTACCGATATTCCGAAGTCATTTTGGTCAATCATATTTGTTTCTCTTACTTACTTCACAAGCCAATTTTAAATTTTGATAAATACTTCTCTATTATTTTGTATATAATTGACTCAATTTTAATTAAATAATCAAACATATATATATATATATATATGAAATTTAGATAACAAAATAATAATTTTTTGGTAAATGTAACTATAAATGTGCAAAATTTTAACTTTATAATTAATCAAATATATAAAAATATTTTCTTATATAAATATATTATGTTTTCAATAAAACTGATAAGTGTGAGATCTAATAAATTATTATAATGTAATTTATGTTGTGTTGTAAGTGTTTATAAAATTTGATACATTGCACTGTTACTATTGAATACATTGTAGTTTATAACTCAAATGACCAACACAGATCACTCATATTAATACAAATAGCCAACTTTTAAATTAGAAGAGCAGTTTTTTAATTGATAGCTCAATCAGGACTCAGGAGGAGAAGATATTACAAACGTATAATCCTTTCCTTTCCTCGTATATACTACGAACTGAACAAGCTATACAATCAGTTTATGAAAATTAAAAGGCAATCCATAAGAGAGAGCAAAGACGAACTTAATCGGCCCTTAAGCAATATTTTTGTTTGTTCACCATGGATTTTAAAAGCTTAGTATGTCTTTAACTTTTTTTAATACTGTATTTAAGGTTATTGCCTATTGGTTAACGAAAAAAATATGTCACTGATTAATGGGAAATAAACGGTTGAACTGTCTGCACTGATGGGAAGGAAATAAGATTTACTTTCATCATATCATGGTGATAATTAATTTTGACCAAACTTTTAGTAAGAATCTTTTGGAGCTTCAAGATCAAGTAACAAATCTATAAAGCATAGTCGGTGATATTAACGACCCGTGAATTTGGTAAATAAAGTTACAAATTTATTCATAGCTCTCTTTAATAAGTTAAATATATTTAAGGTTGATTAAAAAATAAATAGATACTTTTAAGGTTCTTTTTTGTTTTGAAGGTATTTTCACTTGAGATATTTGATTTTTCTTTATGCGTTGTATAAATATTAACCGGTTGATCAAAATTGGCTAACTCAACTAAATCAATTACCATTCCTCTCAATATCTTAAATTCGATTCTGCAAGGTATTGAAAAGGATTGCTCTTCAATCCAGTGGAATACATATATTCGTTATAAAAAGAACAAAATTGATAGACAAGATTGTAGTGTGGAAAAATATATCTCATCATTTGAAGAAATTAATATATTTCAAAATTTAATTCATATAGATTCAAACATTCAAAGGTTTATCACATAAATCGTAATTAAATACATATATTCAACTCATCTAGAAGATAAAACATGTATAATACTTTCTTAAATATAATCTGATAATAGAATTTTTCGGTTTGTTTGTGTTTAAAGCAAGATTCAAATCTAGCTTTCGCATCAAATCAGTAACAAATTAGATCACAATCCAAAGAAAAAGATTTGAAAATCTAAACAAAATCTCAAAAGGGCCTATTTAGAAGACTTAAGGTGAATGGTAATGATGTGTGCTTAAAAAAAGAAATGTGCATGCATGGTTACTGGTTAGAGAAATTTGTAAGCCTTTTGAATCTTCAAAGTCTCACAAACATTCCACTTAATTATATGCATACGGATATGTATAGATCATAATTTTATATATCTTTTTAATTAACATTGTGTGCTCTTTGGTGGTGGCTCATTTTGGTTGTGGAGACAAAAGCCAAGTTGATAATAATAACTAACATGTATGGGATATACAGCTTTCAAATACTAATACGCATTTAAATTTAGGTATTATAATGCATGCTTGATGTGCTAAACCATCAAGGCATCAAGTAGGATTAAATTACGAATGATAAAGATCTTTGCCACATAATAAGATTTGTTAGCCATAAACAGTGAATGTCAATACGATTTACTAAAATATAGTACGTAATCATAAATCACAATGAATAAAAATTATTATAGTACGTAATTATTCCATTATTATGATATATATTTTTAAAATACCCCCAAACTATTTAAGAAATGTTAATAAATCATTGGTAAAACAAACTTTAAGCTTAAGAATAACTCATGAAAAGTATGATATCTTTGCTAAATAAAGTTTAGACGCTGGGTCATTTTCTTTCTAATTGTGTGTGTGTAGTAAGGTAATCTTACACAATGGGTGTGAAGGAGGCAGTTTTTGAAAATATAAAATAGCAAAGAATTGATAAACATCTTAAAGATCGATTAAGACTGTTAAAAAATTCCCACGAGAGAATCGGACAAGAAATTTAAAGTGAAGATGCGGTAAGCATATATATATTATCTCATATAAATGGATTATAAGATTTATATTTATAACATATAAAAAAATAAGAAGAGGATAAGATTAAATGGCGGTACAAAGCACTTAGTAACCATTGGTGGTTTCGACAATTATATGGCATTTGATTCGATCTCCTATCAGTCTTCCATTACCCTTTTGGTTCTATAGATCTATTTTGTAATATTTATGTGGACCTATACGTACGCTTAAAGAAATGAGTGATTATTATTTATATTTTTCTTAAGTTTCTAACAAATTCTAGGAATAATAGACGTTGGTTCTGTTGAATCAGATACCAGATACGAATCAAATGTATTGAAGATTTCTGAATATGTAATGTTTTGCATTTAAAATAATTTGACGTTTTAGATTTTGTTATTTCCATTTTTGGACGGTTTTATTTTTATATCAAATTATTAATGGTCAAGTTAAGTACTAATCAACGATAACTCGTCATTGATAACAACATTTTGGTCATTCTCGTAAAAAAAAAAAAGACCTATCATCATCTATGTATAAGAAGACCAATCACTATTTTGTATTTTCTTAGTTTCATAATAGAATTCTAGAAATAGACCAGGGTCAACTCCTTGGGTTTATTGAATCAGATACGAATGTTTGAAAGATTTCTGAATATAGAACAGTTTCAATTTTATTTTTAAATATTTGATGCTTTAGAGTTATTCCTTATTTCCATTTTTGGACAGTTGTATAGTTTATTAAATTATCAATGTTCAAATAAAATATTAGGTACTAAGAGCATCTCCAGAGGGGACCTCAAATTTGAGGTTTGGCAAACCTCAAATTTGAGGTTTAGGGTTATGTTTCTCCAAAGGAAAACCTCAAATTTAACTTCAAAAAAGTTTGTATTTTGCATAATAGTCCTTGCTATTGATTATAATTACATAAAACCATAAATTTTTTATAAGTAACAATAAAACACATATTCAAAATATTACAAGAAATATTAATTAATAAGATATTACATTATAAAATATAATTGCACAAAATAATAATAAAACACACAAACGAAATCATAAAATAAAGCTAAATTACCAAATTATTGAACCTAAGTATTTCCATAATGCTTCCATATATGATCAATCCATGCATTTTGAAGAGCTAGATGAGTCTCTTTGTTTTTTATTTATAAATTACGCGATAAAAATTGTTGAAATCCAGTATTTTTGTTTATTGCCACAAAATTTTAAGGACTAATATGTTAAAATAACAAATTAGTAAAAATATTTTTAAGATAGAAATAATCGTGATGACCAAAATGCAAATAAAAAGATGAAACCTCAAATTTGAGGTTTTGAATAGTGAAACCTCATATTTGAGGTTTCACTATTCAAAACCTTAAAATTTGAAGTTTTGAGGTTGCCTTTTGAGAACCAAAAACCTTATATTTGAGGATTTGAGGTCTCCTTTGGAGATGCTCTAATCAACCGTACTCCAGCATATAGAAACTAAAACCTGTAACAGTATGTAATTTTTTTTATTAAAAATTCAACCCTAATGGGCCAAGGCTTAAGCCTACAACAAATGAAAGCCCAGTTACAAAACGGTATACCGGAAAACTCGCCGGAAAAAGAAAATCGACTCGACCCCTGTTGATCATCGCTCGCAGAGAAACCAGACCTTAGATCCGGCGAAACCAAAGCCGACAGCTTCGTGGCCGCATCGGGAGATTGAGATAACCGATGGAAGATTTCGGTTTTCGGCAGCTATCTCTCTCCTCCGAAGCACCAACCCACCACAAGCCTCCCAGAAAGTCAGTCTCTCCGACGAAGCGGTTCGACGGTGACGGATCCCGACCTAGCAACCCATCACGCTTGGAGTTATCCTCTCTCTTCTTTCACCGAAAAAAATCTGAAATTCCAAAGTCGTCATGGTTCGATCCGGACAGTCGGCGCACCCAATACGGCAGATCTAAGGGACGGTGGCTCACCCAATTCCTTTAAATCCGACCCCCGCATCAGCCATCGTAGATCCTAGATCCACCGCTAGCCACTTGTCAAAACAACAAAAATCCCACCTTATCCCCACCACCAGTATGTAATTTTATATATGGACTATAGTAGTATGCGATTTTATGGACTAGTTAATAAATGGAATCTATAAAAGAAAACAAAAATTTATTTATAACCAAAAGAAATCTTGAATTGGAAAAAAAAAATCTCAAGTAATTTTTTTTCTTTTTTAAGTGTTTCCAAAGAAAACCTCCAAATTCAATTACTGGTTTGATTTCAACATGCTCTCAGATAAGATTAAGAACCATAAAAATGAAATCGTTTCTTGCTAAAGAAAAAAAAACATTGAAAGCCCACGATTGGCCCAGTGGGTTTCTATGTGATTTAAAAGCCCTCGAAAGCACCTCCACTACAATTATATTCACAGACGGAAGAATTTTTTGCTTCGAAGCTTAAGCTTGATCCTATTATCCTAACTCCTAAGAAGATTCAACAATGGCGATAATGTCAGATCTTCCACGGGATTTGTTAGCGGAGATTTTCAGTAGGGTTCCGTTGACATCTCTAAGAGCAGTGCGGTTCACTTGCAAAAAATGGAACGATTTATCCAAAGATCGGAGCTTTATAGAGAAGCAAATCGTGGAAGCAAAGAAGAAGCAATTGAAGGCGTTTGAGGTGATCATGATGAGGAATTGTAGGGTTTATCTAACGAGCGTCGATCTCCACAGCGATGTTGATCCATCTTTTACGCCTAAAGGTACACTTATTAGCTTAAACGATGATGCTAATCCCCATCAAATCGATAATGTATCTAGAGTCTTTCACTGCGATGGTTTACTCTTATGCATCACCAAAGACTTAAACTCTAGGCTTGTGGTTTTGAACCCTTATTTTGGGCAAACAAGATGGATCAAACCCAGAAATTCTTACCACATAAAGGACAATTACGCTCTTGGGTACGACGAGAAGAAGAACCACAAAATCTTGAGACTTAAGGATAATTATTACGCTTATAGTTCACACCCACGGGAACGGATTTGTGAGTTTGAACTCTACAGTTTTGAGTCTAATTCATGGAAGGTTGTTCTTGATGTCAGTCCTGACTGGTATATACATTCTTATCACCGTGGCTTGTCTCTAAAAGGGAATACTTACTGGTATGCTATAGAGAAGCATGGCAATGTTGATTTCTTGATCTGTTTTGATTTCACAACTGAGAGATTTGGACCGCGTTTGCCTCTCCCTTTTAACGCTACCGCTTCTCCTACTTATGATGATGTTGTTACTCTCTCTAGTGTTGGAGAAGAGCAGCTTGCGGTGTTGTTTCAGAGTGATCATACATTGATGATGGAGATTTGGGTTACGAGCAAGGTTGAGCCCACAGAGGTTTTGTGGAACAAATTGTTCTTAGCCGTTGATATGATAGCAATCGGCTCTAACTTTCAGTGTGTGGCAGACGCTGGGAGTTTCTTCATTGACCAGGAGAAGAATGTTGTTGTGGTTTTTGATAGAGATATGGATGCGACTAACACTCGCGGCATGGCTTACATTTTTGGGAAGAATGGACACTTAAAAAGTGTGGATCTTGGGGAAGATGCAGACCCGTGGTTTTACCTACTTATCTGTTCTTATGTTCCAAGCTCAGTGCAAATCAGGCAGCTAACCTGATTATTATTATTAACTACTGTTTTCTTTTTCTGGCATCATCGATTGTATAAATCTGACCATTGTTATCAGTTATCTGGAATCTCAGAGACATGGCTCTACTATATGTTAACTCTCGTGTGGCTCTTCCAGACATTTCTTTGAAACAGTCAAATGCATCTTGAACTTTATCTTTGGGGCTTCATTGCTAGTTAGCTGAAAATACAGATAGTATTATGCATGATGCAATCACGCATTCACTCTGTTTGCACGTTAAAAAAACATGAAAACTAATTTCAAGGAATCTTGATTTGGCCCCAAGGCCACTTACACATACAGCACATATTCCGTATCAACTCAGAGACATTACATGATTCTCATAGAGAAACATAAACACTTCACAACAACTAATAATCCACACCCCTTTTCAGTTTTACTTATGTATCAAAAGACAACAAGACGATACAAACAAACAAGACAAATGAGTCTGTTTTGCTTCATCAGGAAAGCTTTCCTACGCTTTCTTTTGTGAAGCTGAAGATCTAATGGCAGTCTTTGCAAGCGTCGAAGGCTTGAGTACACTCTTAGGGTTAATAGCCTTTCTGATTTTGAAAGCAACCCAGGCTGTGCCAAGCGCATATCCTGCTGCATCGAGCCCTTCGTTTGTTGCCTCAGCCGCTTTACCACCATACCTACATTCATCAAACCAAAATTTACATTCTTCTCTTAAACACTTCCATACCCGAATAACAAAGAGTTTCAAATCCCAGATATTCGATTTACTTACTTGTGATCAACAAGTTCAGTTGTGACAGTGGAAGAGGTTGACATTACATTCCTCCCAGCTACTTCAACAGCATCACAAACCTTATCTATCAAAACAGGAATCAACAGCTTCAATGATTATGAAATCTAAAGATAGCTATATTATATGATATACGATTAGTGTACTTACTGAATCCGTCAAGAGATGCAAGGATGACTTCTCCAGGGAGAAGACTAAAGAATTTCTTCCCAACTTTGGTGTTCGCAACTGAACTTGTGAAGAATCCAGAAACTTTAAGGACTCCAGACAGTATGCTGTTTGCTACACTCTCTGTCATTTTGGTCATCCTCTTCACTCTGAATAGGCAAAAACATAACGAGACACCAAACACACATAACTATGAGCCGCAATAATGACATATAACAACACCATATGCAGCATTGTCATGTTTGGAACATCTAAAGAAGACATATCAAAAACTGTCTTCTCAGCTTTCAAGTTACACTCTCCAGGACACACCATAACAAATCAAGATCAGCAATTAAAACTCATGTCTAGACATTTTCCTAAAATAGAAAACACATTCCACCTATTTAGCACAAACCCTTTTCCAGAAACTAACTAGAAGAAACATCACAAACATCTCAAAGCAAAAGCAAAACCAAAACATATCAAACACTTAAATTTGAATGAGGCAAAAGTGACTATAATCAAAATCACAATTCAATTCACAAGAAACCATTCATACCTCCTGATTCTTTTCAAGGTGTCAGGGTGAACTTCACTCTCCTTCTCAGCCTTTGACAACCTCCTTTTCATGAAACCATTTCCCCAAATAAGCCTATCCATAGTCACATCTCCACACCAAAGAATCCCTTTTATCAAATGTCCTGAGCCAGTTGCAATCAGCTTCGCCGCCTTCCCGCTATAATCCTCCACATTCGGAGCTAAAGTCGTCCAATAAGCCGAACATTGCCTCTCCACAATCTCTTTCCTTTCCCCAGTAAGCTCCACCGGCGACGTCTCTCTCGCCACCGTCACATCCAAAACCTTTTCCCCTGCTTCCTTCGCTTCTTCCGACACTTCCTGCACCGTGAAACAACTATAATCCTCCAAGATCTTCTCAAGCTCCACCAGCAAATGCTCTTGACCTTTCGAAGCAATTGTAAGTCCGTAGTTCAACATCTCGTTAGTGTTTTTCGCTCCGTCTTCCTCGTCGCTTGAATCATGTGCGATTTCTTTTGTAGGACGAAGCGTGAAGAAGTAATGAGACTCATCGACTTTGACGGAGTTCTCATCCTTAGTCAACGGCCATTGAATCTCATCTCCAACACGAGCGAGAACAGCGACAACATTATCTCCTTGAACAATACGGATGATCTCAAGATCGCCGCAAGCGAGCTCGACGCTGTAAGATGTGTCGATTAAATGAAGAATCGCGCCGGAGATTTTCAAAATTACTTCCTCCCTCGCTGCAGGAGGAGCCGAAACGGGAACGGAACTCGTCTCCGGTTGCTCAGGGAAGAGATTACGAGCGAGATCATTCATATCGAGAGAAGGATAGAGATTATTAGTAGATGATGAAGAGGTAGGGTTTATAGGAGCTTCGGGATTCGATGTGTCAACAGTAGGGTAAAGAGATGAAGTTTTTTTGTCGCCGGAGGATTCCATCGTCGCCGGAGATTTCAAATCGGAGAAAAATGATTGAAGAATGAAGAAGACTTGGTTTGGTGCTGAATTGATTAAAGATATTTATTTGAAGAAGAAGGAAAGTGACCAAGTTAAGTATCTCTGTATCTGTCAGTGTCAGATTACGTGGAGGTTGCGCGTTAGTAACGCGTGTAACCGGTTCGGTTTAATACTTGACCTTGTCGACATCTTTCCCGCGCGGTTTACACGGTTAATTTTTCTCATGTCGGTCGGTCTATTTGTCTCGGATATTGCATCAAACTCATAAAAAGAGTGTACTATTAATAATTTAATATGCAGTTGCTCTAAATTATTAAAATTTTATTTAACTGAAACAATAAAAGGATAGAATTTTTTTTTATTTTATTTTTTTTGAGTACAAAAGTAATTAAAGTTTTGCTAAGTTTAATCATGTTGTTTTATTAAATGACATGCTATTTTGACGACAGGAAGATAATAATTTACTCTAAATAACATGGCATTTTGTCTAAATTTATCACATGTGTAAAATAACATATACTTTGAACTATTAACACGTCATTGCTTAACTTAAAACTTAGATGGTCGTGAATATTAGTATATAATTAACGATTTTACATTTAGTTAACAAAATAAAATAAAATAAAAAAGTTTCTGAAATCCAGTAGCCAAATTTATTTACAAATTGGCCCAAAAACATACAGAGCCGGCCCTGCCCATATCCTCTGCTTTTATTCACGTTTCAAAAAAACAGACACACACACAACAAGGGATTTGAAATATGTTTCCAACTTGGGTAAATTTTCTTGACCTTGTGGATTATAGAACTAGTAAGGAACATTAAAGAGTTTCTCTGTGAGATGCTTTTTCTCTTATATCTCATTATTTAGAAATAATGAGATATAAGAGAAAAAGCATCTCACAGTTTGTTCCTTACAGTTCTATAACATGTTTGTTCCTTGTATCTCACAGAGATTGGTTCTGTTGAATCAGATACCAGATACTCAAATGTATTGAAGATTTCTGAATATGTAATGTTAAGAGTTTGTTCCTTGGCCAAAAAAAAAAAAAAAAAAAAAGAGTTTCTCTGATAACATGTCTTTCTCAAATTCTTCAAACAGTTCTGTACTAATTAGCTCTAAAATTCCAGAAATCACCAGACAATATCCAACTAACAATAAAGATTCCACTGATTCTAATTCTCTAAAAGGTTTTAAAGTTTGGTTGATAGACAAATCAGTTACAGATTTAAATTGCAACGTTAAATTGTCGTTTTAATTTAGAGAAAAATCTTTGTATTTAAACTATCTTCTTATGTGCTTCTCCTTCTCCACCGAAAAACACACAAAGAGAAACAACATGAGTAATCATCAAACTGTGAGATAATTTTTCTCTTATATCTCATTATTGTTTTATCTTAATTATTTCAAATTTATCATGTAGGCTTTTTTTACTCACCTTTCATATGACTCCAACAAAGCAGGTGTTGAAGCAACTAGAGCCATGGTGTGAACTTAAAGACAAAGTGGTTCTTGTGACCGGAGCTTCCTCTGGTATAGGAAGAGAGGTATGTCTTGATCTAGCCAAAGCTGGCTGTAAGATTATCGCAGCAGCTCGTCGTGTTGATCGTCTCAAATCTCTCTGCTCTGAGATAAATAGCTTCGAATATTCAGCCGGACTTCAAGCTGCAGCTCTTGAGCTAGACGTTTCATCAGACGCAACCACCATTCAAAAAGCGGTTAAGGAAGCTTGGGAAATCTTTGGAAAGATCGATGTGTTGATCAACAATGCGGGATTTAGAGGTAATGTCAAGTCGAGTTTGGATTTGTCCGAAGACGAGTGGGACAAAGTCATCAAGACCAACTTAACGGGAACTTGGTTAGTCTCCAAATACGTATGCATTTTAATGCGAGACGCTAAACGCGGAGGCTCGGTGATAAGCATCTCATCAGTCTCAGGGCTCCACCGCGGTCAGGTGCCTGGTGGAGTCGCGTATGCTTGTTCTAAAGGCGGTGTTGACACCATGACAAAGGTGATGGCTATTGAGTTAGGTGTTTACAAGATCAGAGTGAATTCGATCGCACCGGGGCTTTTAAAGTCAGAGATCACACAAGGTCTTATGCAAAAAGAGTGGCTAAAGAACGTTAATGAACGGATAGTCCCATTAAAGGTACAACAGACAGTGGATCCGGGGCTTACTTCTCTCGTTCGCTACCTCATTCACGACTCTTCTCAATATATCTCCGGGAATACATACATTGTCGATTCCGGATATTCATTACCCGGTCTGCCCATTTTTTCATCTCTCTAAACCTTGAACCCCAAATCTTGTGTGTTTTTGCAATATAATAAGTGAATACATTCACACATTCTCTACTTAGATTTAAAGCAAAAAAAAAGATATACATTAACATGCTTGTATTTGAAGAAACTGAATCAAAGCTCATCATACTTGAGTTCCTTGTGTTCCACTTTAACTGGAAATCTCTTGTCGACCCAAGCAATGTAACCACCGTCCATGTTTTTAACATTCTTGAAGCCCTATCACATTATCAAACAATCCCATTGAATATCATCAATAAACTCAGATAGATTTAAAGAAGAAATAGAGACCAAGAAAACAAAAAAAAACAGAGGTTTTTTTAAATCTTGAAATCTTTTGGTACTTACGGAAGAAACAAGAACTTTGGAAGCATATAATGATCTAACTCCAGATTTACATCCCTACAAAACAACAGATTTTAGATTCAGATCTTGTGAATTAAAATTATACTTTCACATGATCATGACAAGACTCTGTTATTACCAAGACGAGATGATCGGTTTGGTTACAGAGAGATGAAACATGTTTCAAGAAATTAGGGTTAATCTCTTCCCCCTGTGGAGTATATAACCAGTAAGGAACATTGAGGACTTTCTCTAAATCAACATGGCCTTCCTCGAATTCTTCAACAGTTCTGTGTTTAACAGCTCTCTAAATTTCAGAAATCAAAGACATAAACAACAATAAAGACATGACTGAATCTGAAAGGTTTTAAGATATACCTGACATCAAGAAACGTGTAGCCAGAATGAAGAAGTTTCTGGGCTTGGCTTACATCGATAGTAATAACTTTTGGTTCTGAGTTTGATGAAGTCGTGCGAGGAAGATCAATAGAAACAATGATAAGAAGAAGAAGAAGAAGAAAGGATTTTATAACGTGTAAAGAATCCATTTTGTTGCTGAATTAACTTTTCTAGAGTCTCTGAACAAGAATCAGATTAAATTGTGTGTATATTAATAGTCCAAATATACTCTTTTTAAATCCGGTGATATCCGCCGTTGGATTCGAGCACTCTGTTTTCTTTTTGGCGGCAGAGGTATTGACCAAAAAGACTAGTTTAATATTCACGTTGACAAAGAAAAGAAAAAAATCATTTAAAATCAATATATACATGCTTTATGCTTAACTGCAAAAAATGAAATTATTGAGTATTATTGCGGTGTAACTATTTAACTATTACTAAATAATTTAACTATTTATATGTTGTAAATATAAAGTCAATATTTCAAACAATGATATATATATAAATTCTGTAATTTAATGAAAGCTAGAATAATGTATATATTACTCGAATAATGTAGCTATTTATATGTTGTAAATATATAGTCAATATTTCAAATAATGATAAAGATAAATTCTATAATTTAATGAAAACTCTTTCACGTTTCGATTCACAACAAAATCAATCACATAAATAAATTAAATTTTCTTTATCAAAAAAAGTGGAAAAACTAGAATGAACAAAAAAAATAGTCGGTGCAGTATTGATATCACCAAGGTCCACTACCCAGCCAAGAAACCGCAACAGCCAAAACGCCCAATGATAACGCAACTGAGATTCTTTGCGACGCGTCGGAAACGTTAAGTACATCCGGTTGCAGACGCGGAGGAGATGCACTCTTCAAATCTTCACTGATCCACGTAAATTTTGAGTTAATTTTTGTTATCATAAATAAAAAAATTGTTAAAATTTGAATAGAAACCAAATACTATTATTCGGTTTGGTTTTAAACAGTTTTGATTTTGATAGGGTAAAAAAATCCTAGCTAGGAATATTCAGAAACACGAGAAAAATTGATTTTTGAATTGCTAATATCAAACTCTTTAAGTTTCTATTATGAATCGGAAACAAACTTTTAAAAATTACCAAAAACATTTGTTTTCAAAACCAAATTAAAACACTAAAATTAACATTTTTGAATATTAATTTCCTTATTTCGTAAATTTAATAACAAAAATATTACCTTGAAGAAGGAGAAGGACAGAAAGTGATGACGTAATCAGCACCGGAGCAAGTAAAAGTGCTTGTACCGTCGTCATAAGCGTAACTATAAGCCGTCGGACAAGCCTTCTTAAAGAAACCAGAGTACTCACTCGGCTTACACGTGTCCGGCGTTCCAAACGCGCCACTACAACAAAACTCCGGCGTCCCAAACGCCTCGCAAGCGCTCTTACACGCCACAGCAGCCGTTCCCGCTTCAACCGTTAGTTTCAGCTGTTCCGGACATACGCCGTTAAGATCCGCAGCGCAACCCGTTGCGTTACACTTACCGACTCCAATAGCTCCGCCGTGAGGGACGATCGTCATTGGGACGTTGTAACCGTCAACGAGGCTAACGTCGTAGAAATCAAGGTTTCCGTCGCCGTTGAGTGTGAATTCGGCTAATGTAGCTGGAGGGATTGCTCCTGCGCCGGAGCATTCGATTTGGTTTGAGCCACAGTCGCCGGTGACGCAAGTGAATTTTCCGGTGGTCTCGTCTTGATTGCAAAGTGTGCGTCCCCATATGCGGCCGGACCAAGCGGCGGGTATGGAGATGAGTCGTGACTCAGACGAGTTGAGAGAGAAACCAGTGGTGGGTAATGGAGAGGTGCCGGCGCCGGAGAGAAGTCCAGGCCAGACGGTGTAGTTACACTGGTTAACTATGGTGAAAGTGGTGGAGGAACCACCATTGATCAAAAACAAAATGGCAAAGAGAAAGCAAGAGACTTTAGCCAAACCCATTGTTCCCGTGAGAATTGAGATGTTGTATGATCAATGAGAAGTTGGAGATTATGTTTATATAAGAGAATTAGGGATTTGTGTAATGGAAAGTTTCATAAAATCAACTTTTCCTATATGAGTTTTGCCATTGCAGAATCCAATACATGTTCATTGGTTCATTTCCTTTATTTCGACATTCCCATTAAAACTTGCAAAAAATGGAAATTACGAATTCATTATTTTATTTATTTTCCTTTTTCAAAATTTTACATTTTATTTTGTGATGATATTTGTCGAGGATCTTCCTAAATTCAAAACTAGAAATTTAGATAAGGTTTAGAGGAGGAAAGTTCTCTTTTGTTTGTTTAAGGAAAAAGTAAAAAAAAAAAAAAAATCAAGACTTTGATATAGGAAAGAGACATGTATTGTGTAGGTTAGTTGTATGGTAATTAGTGGGATTACGTATTATTATTATTAGAGGAAATAGAGGAGGTGTTGGCCTGTTGGGGTTGGGTCAACAACATTGTGACTTGGGATAAGATAAACGTGGTGGGATACTAATGTTTAAATCCGAAAGATTCAGTAGGATTGTGCTAATCACAAGCGTAATTAGGTTAAAACTAACGGGATTATCTTAATTTTTCTTTTTAAAACATCAGGATAGTAGAGAAAGAGAAACCACGAACCGGTATAAGAACTACAAAATCACACCATGTCTCTCCTTTGTTCAGGAGATTCTCCTAAAACAAGATCTAAGGAAACTGAAATATTAAAAGATTCTTCTTAAGCTACTTTCTCTGTTTAATCAAGAGCAAGAAAATCAGCAATGCAGATTATATTATGGACACGACAAGTTAGCAAAAAGGACTCTCAATCTTGGTATAAAACAGAAGTGACCATATAATGAATTTTCAAGTCATACAAGCACACTCATTGTAAGTAAAAACAAGAAACTGCAACGAAGGAAATCACACATATCATTCAAGTCTCAAACTTATGGCATCAACATCAACAAAAGCAGTGAACAGGTTTGCAAAAACCAGTCAAAAGAGTAATATAGAGATCAAAAACTCCCAAAACAACCATTCTTAAACATCCTAAACAATTTTAGCAATCACATTATAGTCACCAAAAAGGAGCATTAGGTAGATTTAATAGAGTATATGAACATTACTCTTCTTTGCTTCTTTTTGTTAAGCAACCGAAGAACATTCCCTTGCAAAGTGACCTTCCTTGCCGCAATTGAAGCACTTGCCACTGCCACCTCCGCTGCTTCCGCTTCCTCTCCGATCACAGTCACGTGCCAAATGGCCGGTTTCTCCACATTCGTAACAAGCACCACCACCACTACCACCAGAGGGTCTCTTGCTGGTGCAAACTCTCGCAATGTGGCCAACTCCGCCACAGGTATAACAAGTGTTTCCACCGCCGCCACCACCTCCAACGTTTCCACCGCCATTTTGCCTACAATCCCTAGCGAAATGTCCCACACCACCACAAAGGTAGCATCCATCACTGCCAGATCCACGACCACCACCTCCGTATCTATTTCCACCAGAACCACCACGACAATCCTTTGCCAAATGACCAACCTCTCCGCAACTATAACACGGACCACCGCCTCCTCCTCCTCCACTGTTTCCACCACCGCTTTGCCTACAATCCCTAGCGAAGTGTCCCACATCACCACACACGTAACAGGTACCTTCACCGCCAGATCTACGACCACCACCACCTCCAAAGCTTTTCCCACCACTACCACCGTCACAATCCTTAGCCATATGACCAACCTCACCGCAATTAAAACAACTACCACCGTTTCCGCGAGAGCTATTTTCCTTCTTATTAAGAGAACCGCCGCCGGGAGCAGTAACATTAACGGCCTTAGTCTTCCCGTCGCTTCCAAGCGTGATTGAGTATTCAACCGATTCACCAACAGTTAAGCTACGGTAACCATCGGAGACGATTGAAGATTGATGAACAAAAAGCTCTTCGCCTCCATCATCGGGAGTAATGAAACCGTAGCCTTTACCATCGCCAAACCAATTAACTTTTCCGATAAATCTCGCCGCCGATTGATCTTCCATCGCCATTTGGATTAGAGAAAAAGGTTGAGAAAACTCGAAGCAGTTTGTTCGTACAGAGAGAGAAAACAAACCAAAATGGGTAAAATGAAAACCCTAAATTGCGAGATCTATAATATCGATTTTGACCTTTAATTCGCCACGTCAGCTTCCTTCTCTATCGGCGGCAGTTACGACGTCTGCATTTTGGATCAGGCCCATGATTCAACTTATGAATTGGGCCTTTTTTATCGAAAATGAATTGGGCCTCTCTATTTTAAGGATTTCAAAAGAAATAGATAAGGTTTTGATTTCACACGAGCTCTTAAAAGTAATGCTTTGGGATGTTTTATCATCTCTTAAACATACTGCTGCATTTGCTGCTACTCACCAAAAAAAAAAAGGAAAAAGAAACATACTGCATTTGCTTGATAATTTTGAAATACAGTTTTTACAGTTGCCTATATAGTTTAATAATTTTTTATATTGAAGCCTTGAACATAGTTACATTGTGTTGACAAACAACAATAATGATTAATACTCCACCGTTCCTTCTAATCAATAAGTAGTATCGTAAATAAATTGGTTGATTAGCACTTGTGAATATACTTAAAATAAGAAATTATTGGATCCAATATACTTAAAATAAGAAATTATTGGATCCAATATACTTAAAATAAGAAATTATTGGATCTATCGTCTATTTTATATAATTTTATTTTGATATAATATATGAATGGCAACAATCTTCTCCTTCCCATTCATTGTTTATGGAGAGCATAAAATGACAAGAGTTCATTTTGTTTGAATGAACAAAAATGAATTTAAAATTTACATTTTAAAAGAGTTATTTTGTGTGAAAAGAATAAGAGTTTTTGTCAAAATATGAAAAATTCGTGGGATGCAAATGTTCCAGAACATGGCATGTTGAAACAAGAGTGATACATAGATTATTATCATGACCAGAAGAAAAGAATCTTGTCTGTCGTATTTGCTTAGCTATTTTTGGTTGCCCTTGTAAATGCATTTTAAATTGACTAAACAATTATCGTGATAAAGGTCATGATTCTTTATTTTCTTAAACTCTGAAATACAAATACTGAACAAGAAAATTGACAAAACGTTAACTCATTGAAATATCGTTATTTTATATAAGTTTCACAAAATAGTTCATAAAAATTAAATAATTAACCCATACATAACGAAATATAGAACCTAGTTAACTTTAAGGCGACTGATCCTACGTGGCACGATAAACCGGCAAGTAATATTAGCACACTAATTACCGGCTAATCTCCCAGATTTAGCATTTACAATCTACTATTAATCTCTGCGTTCGGGGCCTTCGGGCCAACTCGACACACCGAGTCAACTCTCTACCAGCACTGATCGGTTTCCCAATTCCGTCCGCCGTAACTGCCGTATCCAGAAACACCAACAGTTAAGGGCCGGCTCCGACGAAGATTCCTCCGATCATAAACGGCACGTTTCTCGGGATCCGAAAGCGTGCAATACGCCGCGTGGATCTTCATAAAATCGTCCGCCGACGAGCAATTCCGACTATTTCCCGCTACATCGGGATGACAGATCCTAGCTAATCTTCGGTAAGCCGATTTGATCTCTTGACTCGTCGATCCGACGGGAATTTCAAGGATCTCGTAGAGAGAAGCGGTCGCTGAAAATCGCTGCGGAATTTGGCGTAATCTCGTCGGATCATCGGCGCAGGTGTAGGACGCGGTGGTTGCAGAAAGAGACGGTGAGTTCCGGGAAACGCGTGACGGTGGTGAAACAGGAGAGAACGACCGGGAAGATGAAGAAGAGAGAAATGGAGTAGCGAAGAAGGTTGAGGAAGAAGAGAGCATCGTGAAACGACGGCGTTTTGATTTTTCTTTTGGTTTAAGTTCCGATTTGGGTTTTGTGATGCAATGTGTGATTTGAGGAAGGAGATGAGAAATTAGAGAGGTTTATTTATAGGGGAAGAAGTGATTAGTACGTTTAACGGTTTAGTTAGCTTTTAAATAATTGAAGATTTAGGCAGATTAAAAATAACTTGTCCGGTTAAGCAAAATCGAACCGGTTTGGGTCGGATGTTTTTTGGGATCTTGGGAAGCTGAGTCAGACGAAAAGGCTTATCCACAGTTGGAAATAATGGAAGAAGTGAGATAAGATTCAACGAACGAACGAATTTTGACTTTTGAGCATAGTGGCAAACTGGCAATGAAGTTTATAATTGCCCTCTACCAAATTTTTCTATTTTCGGTATCATATAACAAACGGATAAACCTACACTTATTTATATATGTATATACATTATACAACATACAAATATCTAAACAAATATCTCATAGCAATAAAAAATCTAAACAAATATCCAAAGTTTGTAACATTAGTGTGTTTTTAGTTTTTAGTTTTTTTTTTTTTAATTTTAGACGGAAAAAGTAGGGGGTGTTATTATAGTTTATTACTTTATTGATTTGTAAATCCATATAGGATTTGAAAATTTTTATTAATTATGAAATCAAGACATATGGATTTTGAAATAACATGTGTTTATCCATAGATTTGAATCCTTCTATTTTTCTCTTTCAAATCCATTTAAAACATAACTTGGATTCTCAAATCCAAAAACAAATGACTAAACGAATAACATAGGATTTTAACTAGTATTTATAAATCATAGAACCAATAACACATGATTTTAATTAGGATTTTAAAATCAATGATTGAATAACAAATGATTTTTGTATGGATTTCCAATTTCTTATAAATCCATGAACCAATAACCCCTCCGTAGTTTACTATGTCTCTTTTGATAGTCCACTTAAACCTAACTTGATCATTGAAACTTCTAGTTCTACACACCAAAAAAGTACACACAAACATGGTTTAGGCCTTTACTTGTGCCATCTCTCTCACCCTACTACCTAAAGAAAAGCACAATTTCCATACTCTTTCTAAAACAAGCCAAATGCAATGCATTTTTCTATCGATAATTAATTTCTTCTTTTCTTTTGTTCAATGTAAAATTATAATGCACTTTTCTATTGATCCCTAATTATAATTTCTAAACACCAAAAAAAGTATAGAAACGTGGATTAGGATTTGCGTGTGCCATCTCGTCTCGTCCTAACTTCCAATATATATAACGCGCTATTTAATTAATCTTGTCACAATTGTGATAAATACAAGCCTAATGCAATGCATTTTTCAATTGATAGATAGAATTTCTTCATTTCTTTTAACAAACTTTTTTATATTCCTAACTTACAAACGAATAGACAGACCTATAAGACTACAATTGGCATCCATATAATATTCATAACACATGCCAACTAACTCGGTCATAATTCACAAACTCGTGTTTACACACTCTGATTGATCATCAGGTATACACAATACAAAAACGCATCACTACATTGTGCTAATTGACTATATGAATATATCGATTCTTTTGCCGTTGCTTATAAAATTTTATGAAAATATGTTACAACAACACATGAAAACACTGCAATCCCCAGTTTCTTTTTTTCTATATAAGGGATCAAAACTTTTCCAGACTTTTTAGATTTGATGCTCTTGTTATTCCTCTCCAAAATATTGTAGATTTTCTTAGACCTTGCGAGAAATAAGATAACCAGGAGGGCTTCTCACATTTCTTGATTTGATACTTGCAGTTCTCAAAAGTCTACGAAACTCTTGGAGACTGATTTTACCATCATTGTCAATGTCTGCTTCTTCAAGAAGTGGCTCAATGGACCCTTTCAAGCCAGTATGCTGCAAACATAATAATAAAACTTTTTAGTAATGTGACATTAATTGGTTAATTAGTACTTATATAATATCAAAAATATGCTGACCATTCGAAGTTCCTCTGCTGTTATAAATCCATCTCCATCTATGTCGAATTTTTCAAATGCTGCTCTTGATCTCTGCTGCCACTTTTCGGAATCATGTTCCTCTAATTGATTTACGTGTAGCGCAGCAGCTACAAACTCGCCGAAGTCCACAAATCCATCTGTGTTGCTATCAATCTGTGACAGCAAACAGAATTTAGTGAATTTAGATTAAACAATCTCATCATCATTAATACTACTAACTTAAATTTACATACATACCGCTTGAAGAATCTCGGCAACTCGTGCATCCTTAAGCTTCCAAGGATGATCTTTCGCAAGAGCCTATAGAAAACAAGAACTGATGTTAGGTTTAGTATTTGCTGATCACTTTTGCTAGTGATTGAGGTATAGTTTTGTCTTCATTTTACCTGCCTCATCTCTTCAAGGCTAATGGCGCCATTCTTGTCAACATCAATCGCATCAAACTGGTCTCTAAGATCAGCCAATTCTTCTTCATCAAGCGTCGTTGCAAGAGCCTATACCCGAAGAAAACAACTCAGGTAATAACAACAACAAAAAAACACATAAGAACCACAAATGAAACACAGATCTCTCTTCTTTATTACCCTTAAAGCAAATTGCTTGAGGCGGCTAAATTTCACAAACTGACGCATGTTATTGAGAACAGATATGTCTATGGGAATCTCAGATGCATCTCCTCCTTCTCTAACCCATGGATGTGCTGCAACCAAGAAAATCCAAAATCCTTATAAAAAGATCAGAAAATAAAGAACAAAATGATGAAAAATGGCTTCAACTTACATAGTGCTTGCGCAGCAGTTAATCGCGCTCTCGGGTCTTTTACTAACAACTTCTTAACAAAATCTTTGGCGCTGCTGCTAATGGTTGGCCACGGTTTTCTTCTGAAATCAGGTTTGTTCTTCAAGACCTATGTTTATAAACACATTTTGATGATTAGAGATTTATGATTTCTGATGGATTATTACTTCAGGGAAACAACACTAACCTCCTTGAAGATACCATCTTCAGTCTTATCCCAGAATGGTCGTCTCCCGCAGAGAAGAATGTAACTGATTACACCGATACTCCACACATCTGATTCGGGTCCCGACCTGCGTTTTAACACTTCAGGTGCTACATAGTACGCACTCCCAACGATATCATGAAACTTTTTGCCTACATTGTTACATAACGGTTAGATCAAAGAAGTGATATGTGAAGAAAAACTTTAAAATCACATTGCTACTAACCTGGCTTTATGAAGTCAGATAAACCGAAATCTGTAGCTTTTAGAGGCGAATCTTCTTCGGTTGATTTGAACAGAAAGTTCTGTTTGAGAAGATGATTAATTAGTAAAAAACAATACTTGTGAATAAAACCAACTACACATTCAGAAACATGATCATAAAGTAATTAAACTACCTCTGGTTTCATATCTCGGTGAACCAAACCGCGCAAATGACACTCAGCCGCAACTTTCAGCATTTGTCTCACTACCACGGCCGCATCTCTCTCGCTATAACGGCTATCTTTTCTGTAAAAACGCAACGACAATAGCTTAATTACTCAAAAGTAATAAGACTCTAAAATTTCAGCAACACACAAATAAACGTATTATTAAAGTTACCTTGCTAATATCCGATCAAGTAATTCACCACCCTCGCATAACCTAGAGAACAATATATCATTACCAACAGAAGTTTGCACTTTGTCTTTCTTGCATCACAAGGAAAAAAAACACACGACCTAAAGGCTTTTTACTTACTCCATAACTATATAAACAGAGTTCTTGTCCTCGAAGGCATTATAAAACCGAACCACATTTTCATGACCAGTCAAAGCTTGTAGTATCTTCACCTCTCTCTTTACATCTTCCACAGCTATCGGAATTGTCATCTGTCCCACCAAATCAAATCAAGAAACTCAAGAATCCGAATATTTTAGATAAAATAATCTTTGTGAAATTAAAAACAATCTAAAATCTGAAGAATCTTAAATAAAATAAAACTCAATGATTAGAAAAGACAGCAAATTATTGATTAATTATACCTTGGCCTTATCGATCTTCTTGACCGCGACACGATCATCGGTTTTTTTATCGGTAGCAACATATGTATAACCAAATTGACCATGTCCAAGCAAATTTCCAATGGTGTAACGGTGATCAAAATCTTTAGCGTACCCGAAATCGATACGCTTACCGTAGGGGATCGCTTCTCCATGTCTCCTACCGTTATTGCTAATAACTTTCTCTCTCCCTCTCCCGTGCGGTGGCGTTTGCCGTGTCGGCGTTTTCTTAGCCGCCGCATTGCGTCGCGGTTGCGTTCTATGATCCTTTTGGATCGTAACCGCCATGAAGGAACATGGAGATTGCGGTGGTCTGGTTTTAGCCACCGTGAGAGGAGGATGGTGGTTAGGATTCCGGCTACTGCGGTTGTGGCCGGAGGATTTGGCGGCGGAGGAGAAACAGAGACCCATGAGTTTTGTGGGATTTCGGTTTCTTAGACCCTACGCAATGAGGATGTTTTCTTAGGGGATTTGTGAGGCATTAATGAATAGAAAATGAGGTCGCCATCGAAACAGCATTGCCAGAGAGAGAGAGAGAGAGACATGGAGAAGGAAAAGCTTCGATATGCGTTGTGTCAAGAAATAGACTTTTTTCGGGAGAACATTTTTTTCTCGTTTAGCAACATATATATTCTTTTTGGGAAAACTATAGAAAATTTGAGAATTTTACGTTATATAGTATTCAAATGAAATTATCAAAACAGAAAATTAATTAATGAATAAATGGATCGCTGATATGTCCAAGTAAAGGTAAACAAGCATAGGAGACACGGAGAGACACCGTCAACCACGGAGAGGATTGTTAAATTGATAGACAAAAACATTCGAAATTGTTTGAATACAATCGTTTGAACTCAAGAGAAAGTTATAAGCGGGATTCAAATGTGGTTTGCTTCAAGAAAACACCATAACTAGAATCTTTTTAAACATTTAAGAAAAGTTTGCATTCATATGTATAAACGTTTATTTTTTCTTTGAATATAATTTAATATTAGATTCAAAAAAAAAAAAGCAGATTATTTGATAAAAATCTGTTTCTTGAATATTTTTGTTGGTCAACCTTGATCAAAGCCGGATTCTGATAAACGGTGTACCGGAATAAGATGGTTGTGATGTTGACCACATGTCGTCATATAGTTGGTACATGTGAACAGTGGCGGAGGCAGGTCTATGATAGGGGGGTCAGTTGACCCCCATAAATTTTCAAAAATCTATTGTATGTCATTAGCAATAATTTTAATGATCCCAACTTATAATAAATTTTGACCTCAATACAAAATTAATGTTACAACATGAAAGAAAAAAATAGTCTAAATACTTGAAAGTTGGATTCTCACTAAAATTTTAGACCCATAATTTACCTTAAGTAAAAGAAATATTCACCTAATATTATTTCATTGTTTACAAAACACCAAATAAAAAATATTAAATTTTTGAGTATACTATTTTATATTTAAAATTTTGTTTTGACCCCTATAACATAAATTTCTAGCTCCGCCACTGCATGTGGATATGCTAGTTGGTTATGCATTTCGAAACTTGGTATTTGTGGCTATGTATTATGTTATACGTTGTCTACCTGACTATCTTTTTCCCTAAAAATATTCTTACAATTTAAAAGAAATATATTCCTACGATGAAACAGCCAAAATGATATTGTCTCTCTAGCGCCATGTTTCGAAGAAGGAGATCTGATTACTCCTATCTCTTCTTTGCCCTCAAATGTTCTTCTAGTTGTTTCCATCCACTATAACTCAACCAGCAGGTTATGATCTCCTCCACACTAAACCTCTCTACTTTAAGGTCGACTTCACTGCTCCAGTAGTTACATCACCAGCTCAAGATGTCTCCATTTCAGAAAATATGGGTATCATCCTCCCCACTACAGCCATTACCGAGGCTGAAACTAAGTTGTCAGAAACTGCATCACTAGTTGATTCCAGTCTCACTTTAGGGGAATTGTCCCTTCCTGTTTCATCCAATGTTATTTCTACACCACAAGGTGATATACCACATCATTGGAAGTGACATCAGTTGCAACTGATGTTGCGGATATGGTCTAAGTGTCAAAGTGTGTGTAGGACATTGGAACGTGAAGCAATGTTTGAAAATGATGATTGTAACTTTCAGGGAACAGGATCCAACTTAATTACGACTCTAGATGAAGACGTAGTGAACACATCTCTCATGACAACCCAATCAGGTCGAACAGTCAAATCTACACAAAAGTTGCAAGAGAATGAATTAACAATTGTTAAAGGACGAGGACGACGCGGTCGTGGAGGCTATGGTAGAAACTTTGCTTAACCCTCATCTTTTGCTCTTTACATAGTTTATGCTTTGAAACATTTTATTTCATAATCTCATGTTTGTATGCAAATGTATGCTTAATCCTCTCCTTTTCCACTCTCTAAAAATTGTATGATCTAGACTCTAGAGTCATAGTTGTAATATTTATGTTATTTCAATTGCAAACCCTTTATAAAAAAAAAAAAAGAAAAAAAAAAGAAGAAGAAATAGAGTAATGCAGTTGGATTTTAGCTATACTATTTGAATTGTACATACAACATAACTACATGGAAAATTCAAATGTGTGTGTGCGTTATTTGCATTATTTTTCCGGTGCTTTTTGTCGTCCCGCGAGTTGCGAAACATGTCTTATATTTCCTATAAGGAAATAATAGTTTGGATTTGAAGTTTTCACATATGCTTAAGATATATTTTATGACACGAAAAGTCGGTACATCCACAGTTCTCTCGAAAAATGTAACCGTAATATTTCTATATTATAATAATTATGTGCTAATCGTCTCTTGGAAATTCTTAATTAAGAATTAATTTCTATATTATATAATTGTGTTTGAAATTTTCCATTTGAATTTTTTTTTACATAGTCTCGGAAAATATATGCACATAAAAAACAAAAAGGGTTAGATGAGATGAGACGTAATTATTTAGTAAATTAAATATCAAAAGAGTGTTAGTAAATACGAATAGATCTAGGGTTTGTAAATAACAAAAGATATTAAAAAGTATTTTCTAAATACGGTTTGATAATAATTAAACATAATTCAAATAGAAAAAAAATAAAAATTAACAACTGTTTCAATAGATTTAAGACTTAAAAGACAGTTTATTGAAAATACATTTATTTTGATAAAAATTACAAGTAAATTGTTAAAAGTTGTTCAAACGATCAAACAGAGTTTTATCATACTTTAATACTCCATCTGTATTCGAATAGTTGTCGTTTTAACTATAATTACGCTTATTAAGAAAAAGTTAAAAATGACTATTTTGACCTCATCTTTGTCTCTTGGTAATTTAGACTGAGTAATTGTGATCAATTAATTGAGGTTAATTTAGGAAGTCTTATGCAAAAGTTGTATTGGAATGTCAAAACGACAACTAATTAACAACAAAAAAAAAGTGTAGAACGACAAGTATTCGAATACGGAGGGAGTAAAAACTAATAAACTACATTCCAAACTGTTGATAATGATTACAGTTCAGTATCCTCCAAAACTGCCTAGTTATCAAATTTCTGGTATTTTCAACTGATTTGCGAAACTGCAACACATCTGGTATTTACATAATTGCCCAAGGATTTTTGTATTTACGAAACTGCACAGACTTAAAAGACAGTTTGCCCAATTATAACGAAAGGTTAACAATCGAAAATTATAAATTAAAAGGGATCTAATTGTAACTAATCAAAGTACCGTCAAATTTTGGAAACTGTATAAATTAGAATATGGATCTAAATGCAACTAAGAAACATTTCCGTCTAATTGTAGAAAATTGTATAAATTAGAAAATGGGTCTAATTGTAAAACTAATAAACATTTCCGTCTAATTGTAGAAAACTGTATAAATTAGAAAATGGGTCTAATTGTAACTAATAAAAATTTCCGTCAAAACCCGAAAAAAGAAAACGGTCGCTTTTCGGACCCAAATTGACCCTAATTTGTTGTAAATTTCAGAATTGATTGGGACTCAAATTCAAAGTGACCGTTGTTCTCGAAACCTCTCGTAAGTGCCAATGGAAGCTTCACTAATGGCGGATTTGCAGAGATTTCTACAAGATCGCTGCTTAAGCGTTTTGAATCTCCCACAGAAAGGCCGCTCTCTATTCACTACCAGAGATATTCGTCCAGGTTCGTCTCTCTTGTGCCGGTTTAGGGTTTCGTTTTAACAGTGCTTTTGTTCGTCTGAGACTAATCTCAGTCCTGTGTTTCTTCCAGGAGAAGTGATTCTAAGCCAAAATCCATATATTTGTGTTCCGAATAATACATCATCGGAATCAAGGTGTGACGGATGTTTCAAAACCAATAACCTTAAGAAATGTTCTGGTTGTCAAGTGGTTTGGTACTGTGGGAGTTCTTGCCAGGTATAATTGATATGAGTCCTCTCTGTAGAAATTCAATTGATGATTGTTTCGTATTGTAAGATTTGTTGTTTGTTTTGATTATTTTTCAGAAGTCGGAGTGGAAGTTACATCGCCATGAATGCAAAGCTCTCACTAGGCTTGAGAAGGAGAAACGGAAGTTTGTTACTCCTACAATACGTCTGATGATTAAACTTTTCATCAAGAGGAATTTGCAAAATGAAAAGGTTTTCATCAGCTATGAGTGATGTTGCTTGCATTCACGTTTGATAGCTCATCGTTTGTTTCGTGCTTTGTTTCATTTTGATAGCTGTCTATGTATCCTAAATTCTTAATGTATTTATTTTTTCCAGGTCCTGCCAATTACGACAACAGACAATTATAGTTTGGTGGAGGCTTTGGTGTCCCGTATCCTTCCTATTTGGATTTTATAGTTTTGTGAAATTGATGATCTCTTTACCCCTAGAAATTTGTATTCTTTTGTCTTCTTTAACCTTTATTTGGTAGACATGTCTGAGATTGATGAACAGCAGATGTTGTTGTATGCACAGATGGCTAATCTTGTGAACTTGATTCTTCAATTTCCTAGTGTTGACCTAAGAGAGATCGCCGAGAACTTTTCAAAGGTTTTCCTTTTTTGTATTAGGAAATTTTTTTGATTTACTATTATTATACAGATAAGTTGGTGATGTGGTCTCGTTTTATTTGAGGAGTATCAAGTATCCGTTGGTTTGTATTCGTCTTTATCTGGAATGTTGTTTAGGGATAATTTACTTCCACTTTCATTTCTACTGAACACAGTTCTCATGCAATGCTCATAGCATTTGTGATAGCGAATTGAGACCTCAAGGGATAGGATTGTTTCCATTGGTTTCCATCATTAATCACAGGTAAATGCTTCACTATCTGTTTTCTTTGTGTTCTTTAATCACTTTGTTTCCTGCCTAAATCTTTTGCTCTGTAGCTGCTCTCCCAATGCGGTTTTAGTGTTTGAGGAGCAGATGGCTGTTGTTCGGGCGATGGGTAACATATCAAAGGATTCAGAGGTAGTTTCTGCTTTGTTTCGTCTCGAGTCTTTCGTATATGCTAGTAGCACACTGACATATAGCTGTTAGATCCTTTGTCTTTGGTCAGATAACTATCAGCTATATTGAAACCGCTGGAAGCACTCTGACTCGGCAGAAGTCTCTGAAAGAACAATACCTCTTCCATTGTCAGTGTGCCCGTTGCAATAACGTTGTAAGTAGTCATTAATTCTCCCACTTATCAACGAATGGAGTTTGCACTTGACCACTCAATATTCTAGATTTCTTACAACCTGTACCAACATTTTTCATACCTAAGGGAAAACCTCATGATATTGAAGAAAGTGCAATATTGGAAGGCTATCGGTGTTCCAATGAGAAATGCACTGGTTTCTTACTCCGTGATCCTGGTATGTTAAAATTTAACTACGTAGTTTGTGTCCAAGAACGTTCTTGATCCCTCCATTCCTCATTTGTTTACTTTTGCAGAAGAAAAAGGCTTTGTTTGCCAGAAATGCCTGCTTCTTAGGAGCAAGGAAGAGGTTAAAAAGTTAGCAAGTGATCTCAAGACCGTTTCAGAGAAGGCTCCTGCGTCTCCTTCCACAGAAAGTATCTCTTGCCTGTTTTGCTTCCCCGATACCTGCATTTATATGTCTGAACAAGATTAACTGATCTTGGTTACATTGAGCTGTGTTACAAGTTGTCTGAGAGAATCTTTGACCATTTTCAGATAAACAAGCCGCTATTGAACTATATAAGACAATGGAGAAACTACAAGTTAAGCTTTACCATTCTTTCTCCATCACTTTAATGAGAACCCGTGAAAAACTTCTCAAGGTACGTTTCTATTGGAAAAAAGGTTTTGGACTTTTGGAAGTTGTACTGAGGTTTGAAAAGACGAGACAAATGTGGTTTCTCAAAGCTTGCCGTTACACATTCTTTTGCAGATGCTAATGGACTTAGAAATCTGGAGAGAAGCTTTGAATTACTGCAGACTCATAGTCCCTGTTTACCAAAGTATGTCTACTTCATCTTGATTATTACATTGCTCCTTGACGCATGTTTGATCAATATTTTTCTTTTCTATAGGATACCTTTTATCAATGACCAGACTTCTAGTATATAGATCTAGCCAGGTGTGGGATTTATATTTTGAACATAACTTCGAAGCTCTTACTTGTTTTGTATAGGTACATTTACTTATAATTACCATAGGAACTTATTGCGTACAGTATCAGAGCTAACTGTATACTAGCACTAATGGCTGCTAATTACACCTTGAACAGAACATCTACATAATAATTGTAAAATCATTCAAATTCTTTTGGTGGTTATAACTTGTGCTTGCTTCGTCAATAAAATTGCAGGAGTATATCCAGCAACCCATCCTTTGATTGGACTGCAGTTCTATACCCAGGGAAAACTCGAATGGTATCAAAGCATCCTTAGTTAATATTTTGATTAGATTTTGTGCTGCGGAAACTGAAATAGAATTTGAAGACAGATTTATGCTCTATATCATTACTATTTAATTCTCCGGTCAAAATCGTTAGGACCAAATATAACTTTTGTTTTCCCTCAACTATCAAAGCTGCCATTCCTCTACATGTTCTCAGTGTTGGAGACTCTTATTCTACGGTGACATTTTCAGTCAGGGAACACGTAGAGATTGGCTAGTAGTGGTAGGCGGAACTTGGCTCAAAGCCTTCAAATTGGATATCCCTAAGTTAGAATCCCTGTGGAAAGAAACATTAATTCATCGTGTGCCTGTAGAAAATTATCATTCATATAAACTTTCTACGTTAATCTGAGTCTGAGTGCAATAACTTGGCGTCGGTTACCATCATATTCTGCGGATAAAAATGCATAATTGTTATGTTGCAGGTTACTGGGGGAAACCAAAGAGGCGGTGAGTTCACTGATTAAGGCATTTGACATTCTGCGAATCAGCCACGGGACAAGCACACCTTTCATGAAAGAGCTCTCAGCAAAGTTGGAGGAAGCTCGTGCAGAAGCTTCTTATAAGCTTGCTTGCATTGAAAAACGCTTATAATGATGACAACCAGCAACTTTGATCTTACTCTTGTACTCATGAATCGCTTTCTCTACTCTCTTGACTACATTGAATTGTCTTTAGAAACTCTAGAGCTGCTTGATAAAAATGATATTTTCTATTTGATCTAATATAATAATTTGGTTGGTTCAGGAAGAAAAAAAAAAGCCAGGAAGAACTCTTTCAAATGCTAAAAAGAAACAGTTGCACGTGTGTGTAGACCAATACAAAAAGCTCTGGCGAAATTTCGTAAATTTCGAAAAGATCTGCTGCAATTTCGTTATCAAAAGATATGGGGCAATTCCGTAATTAGCAAAAGATGTGGGGCAACTTCGTAATTAGCAAAAGGTGTGGGGCAATTTCGTAATTTACGAAAGGAAAAATCATTGCCAGCTACACGAACTATACGCCAACACATCACCACACATGCAGACTATTTTAATGTTTCGCTAACTACACGAACTATTGGTATTACATACGGACATCCCTGAACTATCATCGGTTATGTGTGCAACACCATAACCATCATTTCCAAATAATATAAATGTCTTGTTAACTACACGAAATATTTCCTTTTTTTATCAACTACACGAAGTATTTTCATCAAATTTTTTTTAAAACTAATAAGTTAAATAAAACTATATAATATATCAATGTAAATTATAATGCACACATATATCAATGTAAATTATAATTTAATTAAGTGACACTTTTAAAAATTTAGTTAAATTAATTTCATATAAAATATATGTGTGCATTAAAAAATAGTTAATTAATTTAACTTAAAATTATAAGGGATACTGCATATGTAGAATTTAAACTTTAAAAGTTATAATGCATATATATAATTAACAATAGTGTATTATTTACTTTTAGTTATTTTTTCATTTTGTAATTTAGTTTTTAAAAAATGATGGAAATATTTCGTGTAGTTAACAATACATTTATATTATCTGGAAATGATGGTTATGGTATATAATTTACATTGATATATTATTTAGTTTTATTTAACTTATAGTGATGTATAATTTAACTAAGTGACTATTTTAAATTTTTAACAATTTAATATAATAAATATTAAATTAGTTAAATTAATTTAACTTAAAAGTATAATGCATTAAAAGTTATAATATATATATATAATTTATAATAGTGTAATATTTACTTTTTAGTTATTTTTTTATTTTTTAATTACTTTTTAAAAAAAAAATTGATGGAAAATACTTCGTGTAGTTGACAAAAAAAAGAAATACTTCGTGTAGTTAACAAGACATTTATATTATCTGAAAATGATGGTTATGGTGTTGCAAACATAACCGATGATAGTTCGGGGATGTCCGTATGTAATACCAATAGTTCGTGTAGTTAGCGAGACATTAAAATAGTCTGCATGTGTGGTGATGTGTTGGCGTATAGTTGGTGTAGCTAGCAATGATTTTTCCTTTACGAAAGATATGGGGCAATTTCGTAATTTACGAAAGATATGGGGCAATTTCGTAATTTACGAAAGATATGGGGTAATTTCGTAATTTACGAAAGATATGGGGTAATTTCGTAATTATCAAAAGATATAGGGCAATTTCGTAATTAGCAAAAGATGTAGGGCAATTCCGTAATTATCAAAAGGTGTGGGGCAATTTCGTAATTTCCAAAAGCTATGGGGCAATTTCGTAATTAGCAAAAGATGTGGGGCAATTTCGTAATTAGCCAAAGATACGGGGCAATTCCGTAATTAGCAAAAGATGTGGGGCAACTGCGTAATTAGCAAAAGGTGTGGCACAATTTCGTAATTTCCAAAAGATACGGGGCAATTTTGTAATTAGCAAAAGATGTGGGGTAATTTCGTAATTAGCAAAAGATACGGGGCAATTCCGTAATTAGCAAAAGATAAGGGGCAATTTCGTAATTAGCAAAAGATACGGGGCAATTCCGTAATTAGCAAAAGATGTGGGGCAACTTCGTAATTAGCAAAAGGTGTGGACAATTTCGTAATTTCCAAAAGATACGGGGCAATTTTGTAATTAGCAAAAGATGTGGGGTAATTTCGTAATTAGCAAAAGATACGGGGCAATTCCGTAATTAGCAAAAGATAAGGGGCAATTTCGTAATTAGCAAAAGATGTGCAGCAATTTCGTAATTAGCAAAAGATGTGGGGCAATTTCGTAATTAGCAAAAGATGTGGGGCAATTTCGTAATTTCCAAAAGATGTGGGGCAATTTCTTTATTTCTAAAAGATATGGGGCAATTTCATAATTTCCAAAAGATGTGGGGCAATTCTGTAATTAGCAAGAGATGTGGGGTAACTTCGTAATTAGCAAAAAGTGTGGGGCAATATCGTAATTTCCAAAAGATACGGGGCAATTTCGTAATTAGCAAAAGATGTGGGGCAATTTCGTAATTAGCAAAAGATGAGGGGCAATTTCGTAATTAGCAAAAGATGTGGGGCAATTTCGTAATCAGCAAAAGATGTGGGGCAATTTCGTAATTTCCAAAAGATGTGGGGCAATTTCGTAATTAGCAAAAGATGTGGGGCAATTCCGTAATTAGCAAAAGATGTGGGCCAACTTCGTAATTAGCAAAAAGTGTGGGGCAACTTCGTAATTTCCAAAAGATACGGGGCAATTTCGTAATTAGCAAAAGATAAGGGGCAATTTCGTAATTAGCAAAAGATGTGGGGCAATTTCGTAATTAGGATTATGATTGAGAAATCATTGAAACTCCATCTGTAAAGTTATTCGATGCATAATGATAAAATAAAAGTTTAAAGGGTTCATAAGTACAATTTATAGCACAGAAAATGTTGCAAAAAGGCGACCGACCAAAAGGAGTTATAAATACATAAAAGGTTACATATTTACAACCCTAATGAATAACGTTAGTTCCCAGTAAAGTAAAAACACTGAAACTCAAATTGTGTAAGGAACTATTTTGAAGTTAGAACCAAGGATGCCATGTTGGATCCATCATACATAAGTTGCGAGGCGACAAGGCTGCCTCCACCAACTCATTCACTCCTCTTTGCACCGACTGCGGCGGCTCCACCGTATTCTCATCCTACCAAAAACAAATCCATCAATATGTTTGATCTAATAGGATGATGATAAATCATTATGATGATGATGATGATGATGATGTATGTACCTCTTCGGAAAAGTACTGTGGGGCTATTCCTCTGATCCGGCCAATGACATCTTCCACATTGGCGTTAACTTTGTGCTTCAGCTCAGCTGAGTTCAATGTAGCAATTCCTCCAACTGGAGGAATCGGCACACCAAGAGGTCTTCTTCCAAACCAAGACAGCAATTCATCACGGAAGAACATAGCAAGTTGATACCGTAGATGTTCGTTTTGCTGAAAATTTGCAAGACAATAGAGAAACATAGATCAATAATGGCTTGTTGCATCCCTTAGTTATTAGGTATATATAATTTGAATTATCCCTTTACCTTGGAGGAGATTACTGCTTGAGCTGCTGAACACATGGATGACATGAGGAGACCTTCGACTCCAAACTGAGAGAAGAATGCTTGCATGTTCCTTGTGAGGCGGAAAGGCACGGGTTCGTTGAATTCGACCATCCCATTGGCGTCGTAAGCAGGGTGAAAATCTGTCTGGAACATTTTCCCAGTGTTTTTTGCAAACAAGACCTTATTCGGGGACCTCCCACCGATTTGTAGCATGAAGGACATGAAACTGGAGACAGCTAGCTGGACTGCAAATTGTTTCTTGAAAGCCCACATATGGCTTCCGCTCATTAACGTCTTGTACATGTACTGAGAGAAGATACTGTCATTGACCAAGGTTTTTGTGATGTCAATATATGCCTGCAGACGAAGATCTCCTATTGCCTCTGCTGAGATTTGCCCTGATATAGCTTGATTGAGTTGCTCCTTAAAGTGGGTAATTGGAAGATCTGCCTCTCGGTCATTTCGTGCACAGTGATTCTCATACACCTCAAGGAAAGTGTTGTACATGAGATCATCCTCAACCATCCGGACCTGAAACCAAATATGTTTGTTAAAACCAATACTCATCCAATGAAAAATCAAATCTGAATTCATGGTATAAAAATCACCTGAGACCAGACAGGAATGATGATTGGAGTGTGAATTCCAATGTGTCGTCTTCTTGATTCCTTATGCTTATCAAACATTTGGTTCATCACACGGAAAAGCTGCAAGATCCGTTCATCACTTCTAGCATTAGGCGTCAATGATGTCTGGACTATAAAGTGCTTTTGCGAGCCATCTGAGCCAATAAGAGTCAACCGCCTGAAGCTGCTTCCATGCCTTCGAACAATTGGAACGTCAGCTCCAACCCTATCCAACTTTACTGTATGATCAGGTGCTACTTCCTGGATAATTGAGCATAATTATTTTCAGAATCAAATAGGGGAAAAAATGTTCCATCAGAAGACTAAATTAAGTGCAAGGGAAAAGTAGTTCAAATTTCCAGACTTAATAGTTAATTCTACCTGGTCAGCAAAGTACTGCCCTGGTATCTCCACATCAACAACATTGAAGTCACGCAAAACCCTGCTCTCATCTTCCAATCTTAACACAGCCGGAAACCTGTCTTCAACATTGCTCTGAAGAATATTTTTCCACTTTTTCAGTCGCGTCGTCAGCTCAGCGAGTGTGGTAGGGAATGTAGTTGTGCTTTCTGGATCAAGGTGGCGCTCAAAATCCTGTTTGTACTCTTTCACAAATTCGACATGCTTGGTTACAGCATCTGCCGAGAAACAAGCTCTGCAGACACCCGACAGTTCTTTTTTTAGTGGTTGGGGAACCTCGGCAGTTGTAGCAGTTGGATACTTGTAACAACGATGCAACAGAGCATTCACAACCGCCAGCAGTCTTTCTTCCGGTAATGTAACAAATCTCGAACCTATTTCCGTGAGAAGAACCTGAAAAGTTAGATTACTTACTTAGATCATCCAACGAAAGAGGTAAGAACCTGCTCAGAATCTAAATTGAAGCTATATCCTTCTTCCCAATAGTGCGTTGTATATTCATTATTCAGGATTTATCTTTACTATGACAATTGTATGTAGTTAGAGCAAATTTTAGGAATATGGTTGATATACACAGAAAAAAAATATCACCTCGAGTTCACTGGCTAAGTTGTTATGTTTACCCCTAAGAGCCTCCATGATATCCTTGGCAGCGTCGAAAGCGCCTGCAGCAGAGATTGCCAAGGATGCACCACTCCGTCTCACTGTGTTTTCATTGTTATCATTGATAGCGGAGCTGCTTTGGTGCATAGGTTGATCACTACCGGGATGGACACTATTTTCCGCAGTGGAGCGTTCACTTTCTTGCCCATGTGGGTTACCACTGTCATGTGTTCCACCAGCCCCGCTAATTTGAGCTCCTTGATGGATTTGAGTTTCCGATGGTAAATTGCTTCCACCATGACCTGCACTTGCACCAGTGGCATTTTGTTGCATTCTTTGAGCCAAAACCAATCTGCCAAGTTCGGATTTGTTTACTGCATCACGTCGTTCCAGCAAGTATGTGCGCAACCAGTAATAGAGAGCCTAAAAATCGCCACATACTCAGATAAAATAATCATAATGCATGAATTAGTCATAAACGCTAAAGGTAAATTACCTGTGGGAAAACTGCAGCAATTTTCAATAAAACCAATTTGCAATGCGGTGCTTCTGTTCTTTGTAGGGAAAGTAACAGCTGTGGGATCCAAGAAAGCCACACCCAGTGAGGAACTTGGTCTAAGTGTTTATCAAACACCCTACCAACAGGCTCATTCGCTGTATCGAAGCTAAGAAGATAAAGAACACGAGCTATATGACTTCTGGAATTGGAAACACCAAATCTTATTCCCTGAAGAAAGCAACTGACAGCATATTCAAGCCAAATTTCGTCTTGTGTTTCTTGGTATGCCTACAAAAGCGAGTAAAATATAAGTACAAGGAATACGAAATTTAGGGATATGTTAAGAGCCATATAAGAAACAGAATACAGTAACAAGAAATACCATATCACAATAGCTTCCCCAGCTTATCCATCCTTTGGGTAAATTCTTGAACAGGGTGATCGCATTGGAATATGCGATATTAGCACTTTCGGTGTCATTTAATTTCAAATGAAAATCCCCCTTCAGACGAAATATCTCTGCTTTGATCTTATCTGGAAAATACTCCAAATTTGTGCTATTAATCAGATTAAGACCACTAGCACGCTCTCCCTTCATTTCCAGATAAGCTTTTGCTTGCTCTCTAATTTTAACAAAAGCTTCCTGCATTTACACACCCAAAAACAGAAGATGAGGAAGATACTTTCATAAATAAGATTTGAAAAAGAAACCAACTATTTAAAAAAGTTGATGAGATATGAATCAAAAAAGAAAAGAAAAAATATGCAGATCTTGTGTAGAGTACTGCAATTAAAGATTTTGCAGAAATGTACCTGTACTTCCATTGTCGAGTGTCCATACATTTTTTCAAGAATCTGAACACAAACATCATAAAGTCCCTGTTTCCGAGCTATCCTGGCAAGCTTATTGACGTTCCATGCTTTGTCACGGAAACCAAGGTGATGAAGTGGAGAATTTGAAGTAGCAAAGTCCTTAAATGCATCAATAACAACATTATACATTTCATTCCTCCACTGTAGCATATCATACCAGACGGTCATATTGTCCCATTCATTTGGAGTCCTCAGCCTCCAAGTCTCAAGAATATCCTTCAGATCTGCATAACGATTTCCAAGTCCACCAGCCGCAGCATTTCCTGAAACTTTGTTCCCATTTGCGATGTCAACATGAATTCTAGCAGACTCCTGAACCTCAACTAGTTGTTGGAATTGCTGCAGTAGAGGCACTCTAGCATGAACAGACATTTCAGGCAACTGCCACCACTGTTCCAAGGCAAGATCAACGCCTTTCCCCACTGTGTTTTCAGCATCTCCAACACCATTTGAATTTCTGTCATGAAGGGCAAAATAAGATTGAACCAAACGAAGCTTTGGAGTCTCCTCCACTTGTGCCTTTGGTATCACGTGGTCCTTCAAATATGCCCAATCGGGTAATTTCCAAAGACTATCAAGCAGTATTTCATAATTCTCAATGCTTTTTCCAAAATCTACCAGGGCATCCCATTGACTAAGCTGACTGGCACAGTGAAGCCACTGCTCCTCCCACAGACACATTTCAGCTTTAGGGACTGTGTTGTTATACGTGCCTTGGGTTGCCTTAACCATTGCCTGGTAAAAGAGGCTCTGAGCACGCTGCCAAAAACCATGCTGAACTAATGAAAGTCCAGCTCTCGTTTCAGCGGTAATGGACCTCTTCTTCCACAACCCAAATCTCATATCTTCTTCATTTAACAAACGATAAAGCTCAGCAAGAGACTCAGCACATTTTGAATCATTCATGAACAACATCACATGGCTCTCTAGCAACGCCAATGCAAGATGCCATGCATTGTACGTTTTTCCAATATATTTGATAAGCTCACTAGGCATCCTAGGTTGAGGGTGGCTCAACTGAAGCCCTTCCAGAAGTGCTTGGACAACATTTGGCCGGTGTCCTTGCTGCTTCTTATGGTAGTCTTTTGATAGTAGAGAAATCATAGGTTTAGCCAATGCTACCTGTTCTTCCTTGAGCAGGGTTACCCATACAATCGGAAATACCAAAACCCACAGATGATATGCAACATTGGCATCAGTGTGAGCCAGCTCCCTTAATGGGATGACAACATCAGCCACCTATAGTGGAAATTTGAAAAAGTTATAAACTTCAGTATATGAATAATGTATTATTCAGGTAATCTCATCTCGATCAGGTGGATAATACGCTTAGGGACTTATAATAATCTAGTCAACATTTTCGATCAGGAATAACAAAGAGAAAGCACCATGATAACACAAAAGGAAGTTTTAAATGATTCGTAATCACCTGAAGTTTGCTGGTCGCGCTCAGAAACTGTGCATGCTTCATAACAATGCTGTCAAACATTGAAGTAACTTCTTCGGGACCCTCTAAGTTAGCAGAAGCTTGGTGTTGTATTACAGGATTATCTGAAGGCAAAAGTGGTAGTACCCTTGCAGAATTTGGCGCCAGGCTAATTGGCTTGTCCTCGACTAAGATAGCTAGAAGGAGATCAAGACCTTGTTTGAGCCAAAAAACATCACTTAAAGCTTCCCAGTCCTGAACTTGAATAATGTACTGCAACCGCGCAAACAAATTTTTTCCAAGAGACTCATGATACAACAAGAAGAACTTCCTTCTCATCTCAGGATCACTTGCCCGTAAACCAAGCATAAAATGTCTTTCAACTTTCAGAGAGACCTCTTGTCGTAGGCCCAGAGGATACCTGTTCATTAAATAGACGAAGATATATTATCCATCTCCTAAAAGAAAGATGTGACACAAGGGAAAAAATATAAAGCAACAAACGTACTTCGTTGAATCGGCACAAAGTCCGTATAACAGCTGAAGATACTTCTGATCCCACTCTTCCAAAGCATCAGATGAGAAGTGTTGCTTATCAATACAAGAAAGCTTATTGAGAAAGGTAACTACGTCCTTTTGGGTAAGGAAAGAACCAGACAAACCAGATGCGCCTGTTTTGCTGAAATCATCCTCAACCCACCTTTTTATCATATCTAGTATGCAGAGAAGCACACTAGCATCAGTACCCTTTTCGGAAAGTAAGGTGTTCAAAATTTGAGTAACAGATCTTTTGCAATCTGCTATAAGCATGACCGTTTCATCAATAAGTTCCAAGACCGACTTAATATTACATATAACTGCTCCAACATCAGCAGTTTGACGAGAAGAAGTAACTGCAGAATCTGAATCTGTTCGCTGGCCCTGGAAATGGAAAGAAAAAGATCCAGAGTAAGCCGTGACTGGGGTATGACTAGGTTATCTAGTCACCATCCATTAGTCAGATGGAAAAAAGGGATAGAAATGATATAGTGATGTTGATATTATCTATGAAAACACCAGAAAGATGTCAGCTGATAACATAAAGTAAATGAGTCTGAGTAGAAAGGTAATGTAAGAGAGGAACCAGTCTAAATCCTTAGATCTTACAAGACATTAATGAAAGTCATTGGTGCAAAGCTGAAAAAAATGCATAGGAGATTCCAATACTCACTAACGTGGCAAATGCTAAGTAAATTTAAATCCCATTTAAAGTTCCCATACAAACGAAAGCAAGCAGTATTGATCTCTTAGCAGAAAAAAAAATTAAGTAAGAATGACGTACTTGTCTAGGATGAGAACCCACTGCTGATCCCAGGTCCCGTGCAAGGCGCTGAAGGATACGCACCAACACATATGAATCGACAAAGTTTTTATGTACCTTGGCCAAGGTTTTGATGACAAGAAGTACAAAGCTAATCGAACCAAAAGAGTTATCATCTCCTGAAGCTTGTGGAGCAGTAACAGTATTCACATGTTTGTTTATCAGCTCATTGACTTTCTGGTACAATAGCTTTATGTCAGGAGGTGTATTAGCCGCATCCAGTGGGAATGCGGTGAAGACCATCTTCAGCAAGGAGCACAACGATTTACCAGCATCGAGCATCTTGTGTTTGAAACACGGTTCAAGAATCTAGTGAAGAAACAAACAGTCAATCAAGTGAGCAGCAGGCAAACAGCATTATTGTGTTCCAAATCTTAGAATAAAAGCTTACAGCAGCAAGTATACCTGCGAAATCTGGCTGATGTTGTTCCTAATGAAAAGATGTGGCTGCTTCTCCAGAACTTTGTTCATGACATCCAATCCCTGAGCAAGTGCTGTTGACGGATCCGACTGAGACGGTGGCATGCTGCTCAGCAGTTTTTCTAAATAGTTGAACTTGACATTAGCATTTGGCCAAACCTCCAAAGCTTGTGAAAGCAAATCTAATGCTTGTTTGTACATAGTATTGGTTTCCCTGTCCTTAGGCTCAATTACCAATGCTACCTGTTCAAGAAAGCTAAATTTTTAAAATCGAGAAACGAAACTAGAAATGAGGTAATTTCTATTAGATACAACACGATTAATAGATGAATTTGTAATAGCTCTTAGACATGAGGTGACATAGTTAAGAGAATTGAAAAGCTACCCAAAGTAAAATATATGTTCCATGGTGTAAGGTACAAGCATAAAGCCTTACTCTTATGAGAAAATTAATGATCATTTCTTCCATGGCAGCATTTGGTTTGAATTCCTCGTCAGGCTGGGTAGCAGATCCAGGAGTTTCTACATTGGGGATTGATGCTGCACCGCCAGGTGACATTACACAGAATGATTGGAGACCAGGTTCAATTTTGACTCGTTTACTTGGATCATCTGATGTGGAAGATCCATCTGTTGAACGTTTAGGATCAGCACCAGAAGTATGCAATTCATCAGTAATCTGACTGGTTCCATCAGTATCAGTCACCATTTTCATTTCATTCTGTCTTTGCCTTTCCCAGCTGACAACCAATCCAGCAAGTTCAATTGCGAGCCTCCTATTCTCAGCAGTAGTATTATATGGCAAACCTAGACGACTTAACGAATTCACCATTTGAGGGACAAATTGTGCTCTACAGCTGTAAAAGAGATCTGAATGCCGAACAACAAGTAGGAAGATGTGGATCAAATTTGGAATTGAATGACCTTCCTCCACCAAAATTTTTTTTGTGTATCTTATCCAAATTGGCATGCGTGAATCTCCAAGAGGTAGCCTTTTAGGCAAAGCTGGCATTAGAATATCCAGGGCTTGCTTAACTAGCATCTTATTTTCCGGCTGGCATGTCCTAAGAAGTGCGACAAAAACCTACATCCAATAGGCAAATTACATTTGTGTCAATTAAATAATTAGACGAAGTTATTTTGTAGGCATATGCTTCTCTTCAGCTTACTCAGATTCAGAGAGGAGTAAATTCATAGACAAAAACTAACCAAGTGCATGCCATAATACCATGAAGTCTAACAAACATGCATTTTTAAGACAGGCATGCATTATTAAGACAAATATGCATTCAGATCTAGCTTCATGTAGTTTGTCTATCAACAATCGCATTTTAAATGATTTCCACTTAAGCTAATAATTGACCGTCTCAGTCATACACAAATGTTATGACTACAGGGTTTTACCAATGGAAAGAGGAAACTAATATGAAATACGCTGATATCAGAAGTTCAAGGAAATTCTTTTTTCTCACTCTTCAAGAAAACCAATAAACATAACTGACATATAAATTTTGACGGTACCTGAAGAATGATTTTCTCAGGAGCCTGATAAGCATCCAAGAAGTGGCAAACATTAACAAATGCCCACTGTTTACTGGCACTATCTTCCCGTTTGAGATGATTCCATCCAAATTTAATGAGCTCTTTTCTATGATGAACCAAGTCACTCTGAAGATATTTTAGAAGCAAAGTTGCTAACTGCAAAAGTTCAATCCTCAAAGGTTCATCATATTCAGCCGAAACCTACAACAATCAAGATGAGATTTAATAATAAAACTATAATAAAATCTTAATAATTCTGAAAAAGTGGATAAAAAATAAATTAAAAAACATGGGTACAGAGTTACCTCCAAAAACCTGTACAGATACATTCATAACCAGTATGACAAATATAAAGGAAGTCTTCCCCACAATTTTCTTGATATATTTGTTTAGGAGAGCAGAGAAACCTACCTCTTCGGGTGGATCAAGAAGCCTCTCAACAATGGTTTTGACTATATCAGGGTCAATAACCTCCCAAGTTTGACCGTTTTGGAAAGCATGGGCAAGCATTGGAAGAATAAGCATTTGCATTGCTTGAACTAAATGATCATGGCCGAGTTGTTTGGAATGAAAAAGGTTAAGAAAATGCAGGAGAAGTGCTCTTTTCATGTTGGGCGGGTATCCTTCTGCAACCTGATGAATAGATCCCAGTTATTATACTACTGCTGATAAGTGTGAAAACTATAATGGAGTGATAAGGAGATTGTAACTAAAATTTCAAAACTCAGATACCTCAATAATGTAGAATTCCTTCAAAAAGGTGTAGTCAATGCGGCTATGGAACAAGAAAATGGAGAGAATATCAAAGAGAACATTCACTTCAGATTTTTCATGCCGTAGGTAATTTAAAAAGCACTTGACAAGCCATTTGCTCTCTTTCACCTGAGTTTGAGAACACAAAAGACTTCAGAATTCAACTTTTCATATATTTTACATAACTCAAAATGAAGACTATTCAAATATTCAAATCTCACATCTATATTATCCACACCCTCGTGATTAAAAAGAAATCATAAATTTCTTTATCAATTTACGTTGGTAGCTCAATAAAGTATAAAATATGGAATTGAAACAATGTCAGGAGGGTTCCAACAAGCAATATAAGAAAAAATGTGCATACCACCATAACACAGGCAAATCATGGATTCAATGGAAACAAAATTAACATATTCTACAGTGAAGCCAAATCTCTAGCACCAGCATATAGCTACAAATAAGCAATCATTACCTATAATGGTTTCTAATCTTAGACATCAGTTTCAACTTTTCATACCTGGCTATTTCCAGGAACCCTATTAAACTACGCAGCTTCAGCATGAAACACAACTCAAAGCCAAAAATTATAAGTGATTGAGATATAAGAAACTACCTGAACTAAATTCAGCTCTTGCTCATTCTGCAAACGAGATATCCTTGCAGGTGATTTCCAAATGAGAACCAAGGTATCGAAAACACTGCGGTTACTCTGCAACCAGCTGGGTATCAGTTTCACCATTGTTTTGACGAGATAGAGCCCCTGAAAGTAGGCATCCGATGCTATATTAGCCTTTGTTGATGCCACATTAGAACTCTCTAATTTAACAGAGATATGATTTTCATCTCCAGATGATGTAGCAGGAGGAGTTGAAGCTGCCGAGCTCAATGTAGGATCAGGTTTTGGCAAAATTTCAGGAAAGGCATATGACAGTATCTTCTGTGGAGACTTTGCAAGTTCTTCTCTTAATGGCTGGCCAGCATCTGATCGGATTATATACATAAACCTGAGTTTTGTTTTTAAGGGAAAAAAGCAAGTATCGTTAGGATATGTAGAAAATCTACTCCAAGCTTACAGTAAACTCATTACAAGATGAGGTGAACGAAAGCTTATCATAAGACATTGTCCTCACCTTCGGAAATATTTTGGTTCACTTAATCTAGAAAGAAAGTAGTCAACAGCAAGGGCCGCATATCGATTCAAAAATTTGGTAAGCGGTAGACGGTATGGGCTATTAATCTCACTGTACACTTGCCCAGGAGGAAGAGCTGCTTCTAAGTCAATGGTTAAGGTTACAAGTTCATCTAGAAATTTTGATGCAGCATGTGGAAGTAAGTGGAAGAGCTCGATAATAGCTGCCATGGAAACAAAAGAAGTGAATAATCATATGACTAGACATCGATTAGTTATTTTCAAAAACCAAATTACCAGCTGCTATTTTTGGCTCTTCTCCAGCTTTCCATGATTTCTGGGACTGGGCAAGTTTCTCCGGCTCCAACCATTTTTTAAGGTGCTCCAGCAACTTTCCTCCTAAAGTCACATTAAACCAATTTGACAGAAGTTCAAGAAGGCGTGCCAGACCTTGCAGTAAAGGCATACTGAGATTCTTTGTGTGTGCCAGATTAACAAGTATTGGCCTGAGGCTACTCTGAAGAAGTTCCTTGGGCATTCGTTGTTGATTAATAACCTAAATCAGAAAATATAATTTCAAAAAAAGCAAATAAATTTATAAAGATAAAAAATTAACGTAGATAGGTATCAAGAAATAGATTCCTATGATAACTCCGTAGAGCAAGTTCCTCATATTCAACAAGGCAAGTATTGCATGTAGCTAGCTAGCATGGTTGCACATATCAGTTACCCCAAAAATAAAACTAGCCAGGCTAGTACGAATAGGAAAATCTATTTTCTTCACCAAATATCCCAAAAATCTTCAAATTATATGTGCATGCAAGAATCCTGATTAAGATAAAAGACAACTACAAACCTGTCTTAAACCCTCCTTAGCAACCGCCACGATTTCTGGTGCTCTACATGTTAGAGACTTGAAGAACATTGAAATTATTTTGGCACGTAGTTCATTGTGAGTTTGCGTTCGGAAATCTGTCCACGCCATAGTAGTGCAGAGAAGCTCAATACAAGCTGTTCGAAGTCTGTTCAATGATGTAAGCACTTTAGGATTCATCAACTTCACAGCCCATACAGTTTCATCAGCCTCAGCAATTTGTAATGCTTCTTGCAGAAAATTAACCAACTCTGGAGTCACTTTTAGAAGGGGGGGCCTCAGAGCCAAGCAGAAATTCAGAGCTGCAACTGTTCCAACCTGTAGGTAAATATAATAAGGCAAAAATTAAAGACAGAGAGGAAGACAAGGCCGGAAAGAGATACACAAAAGAAAAATAGCACTGTGAGGCACCTGTTGATCAACTGTCTTTGATCGGAGTGGACGCATTATAAGTGGCTGTAGTAATAGTTGGTACAAAGGCTCAAGCAACTCAGTTACCTCACTTCCAGTTCGGCTAGCCAAAAGTGCAAGGCAGTTCTGTACATTTTTCCTCACGGGGATGGATGCGTTAGGATTGAATAACTCTGTGGCAAGATATTCTACAACATCTTGAAAGCTTTTTCTACGCGCTTCACTGTTTGCTTCGTCAACATTATTAACCACGCGTAGAATCTGCATAAGAACCTGACTTGTCTCTTCTTGCTCTTTGCTAGCATAAACAGGAAGCCTCTTTAAGACATAAACCAGACCACGCACAATCTTTACTTGGAAATAACATAATGTTTCAACATTCACTTTCCCCACCAATGCACCTAACCCCATAACCCCTCCCATCTGCGCTTGCCATGTGCTCCCATAACAGCCATGTAAAAGTCGAGGCAAAAGTTGTTCAAACACTGGTATTCGCACGCTTGGATGGGGTGAATATACTGGATTTGTAGAAGGACTCGAGACAATCATGGAGGCATTGTGACCACCCCTAGCCATCAACACATCAGCATGTTTGACACGAGCGAGGAACAAAAGTGTTTCAGAAAACACATTTAACGCATTCAGAGCAGCTTTTGCGTGGAGCCTGTTTTCATCTGCAAGCACATCGACCAGTGCATCTAAAAATATTAAAGGATCTAACTGCTTTAAATTAGATGATTGATTACTCTTGGATCTGGAACTTGTCGAAATCACAGAATCACCAAGTGAACTAGTACTAGTCGATGCATTTGAGGAGGTATAGTCAACATGCAAAATAATCGCAAAATGCCGGCAGATGTTTTCAACAAAGTCATCGTCCGTGTCACTGAGATCTGGATCAGAACTGGCAGCAAGTATAGTGATCAACAGTGTCTTGAAGATTGACTTCTCAGCCATTAACTGGGTCTTTGTTTTCACTCCTAAGTCAGCCTACAACAGTAAGAAACAGCCCACTTAATGAAATGAATCATTCTTCAGCATATTAAGCAAAGTGAAACAGGTATTATATGGAAAAAAGAGTTCATTTAGAGAAGACGACATATATACAAGATCAATTTTCTATTAAGAAAATAGAAAATGAATGGCAACAAAATGAGTATTACAGAATTATAATCATGCCCCACGTCTATGTGGGTCAATCAAGAAACTTTGCTCTAATACCAACTGTCTTCAACATCAAGTAATGTCAAGATCCTAGCCGATATGCATTATAAACAAATGGCAATGATACACCTAGAATGTGCCAGAATTCAAAAAGTAGACAAGTAAGATAACCTCTGCCATGTAAGAAAAAAAGTTCAGAGTCCAACTATGATAAATTAAGATTATAAGAATGATACTTAAAACTAACCTTGATTTCCACTGATTCACTCCTGTGCCAAGATGAATCCACAGAGGAACGTAATAAAGTTGATAATTGCCTGGGCGTTTGACCCACATCAGTGACACATCCAGGCAAATTAAGCTGGGACAATAAGCATACACGGAGGAATTTTAGAGCTTGCTTTCTGTAGTATATGTCCATGCCGTGATTTCTATGAATAACCGCTGCTACTGCCAGATTAATAAATTTGTCTAATGGCACCAGAAAAGGTGTTGATGGCTCAAATGTCAGAACTAAGCGAAGCCCATGCTCTGGATTATCTTTGCATTCAAGTGTAAGTGGCTCTTTCAGAAATCTTCGGTTGCGACCACCCAACTTTCCAAGGATTTGTAAGGCTTTTTTACCCCAAGGATATGGCACAGGCCTCAAATGGGACCATAATGCTAAGATCACTTCAGACATCACATTAGCCATGCTAGGTTCCAGGAAATCAGGATTCAGACTATCCACCCAGAATTCAAGGGTGCGTAACCCAAGCTCACAAGTTCATCGCTTCCCCTCAAACAGAATACAAGAGGCTTCATGAGACGGGGAAGGTATGGCAATAAGGAGCTTAAGCGTGCAGGAAGCGTCAAACAAAGCTCTAACAAAAGATCTTTCATGTCCTCCCCAGCTGGACCCTCGAGCATTGTCAAAAGAATATTAAGACAAGGTAGCAGCATGGGGATCAAATCTCTCAGAAGCAGCTCATATTTACATCCAGCAAGACCTCTGAACACAGTGCGGAGCAATTGCATATAACCAAGAGGTTTATCAACTTCCGTAGCATTCTTCATGCAGACTTCCATAATAACAGGCACATGGTGCTGTAATATTCTTTCAAAATCAGATGGTGTTTTGGTGACAGCCCCAAAGATGCATCTAAACAAATGCAAAACTAGTTTAGTTGCAGCTGAATCTGGATTCTTCAGAACATCAAGTTTGCTGCTAACTAGTAAATTAATCAAAACATCTGCAAATGGTTTGTAAACTTTGGGAGCTTGCAGAAGTGCTGCAAATATCTGAACCAGTTGGTTATTGTTAATCATGCTCTCAAAAAGCTCTGGCATGCATAAAGAGAACATGTCCATTAGATCTCGAGGTTCCATAATAGCAAGAATCTGGGAGAAAAGATTAAGCATTTCCTTCTCCTCATCCTTTTCTTTGAAGAGAGCTAAGCAGTGGACACCACTCTTTAAAACACCAGAAGCTTTCCACACCTGCTTAAAGGCAGAGATTACTAAGGTTTATAGCCATGCACTACTAATGACTAAAGTAAACAATCTTACAATCAGTACCTCATCTTCTCTCATTCCTTTAAAACCCTGCGGAGCAGATGATTGTGAAAGAAGAGCTTGAGGGTTCATCCCCTGGGCAGCAAGAGAAACTGTCACAATTAATATATTAGCATGACAAAACAATAGAATACTGATACAAGCGACAACTGGACACAAACCTGAGGTCGAGGCAAATGTGCATGGGTAATACTCCATATTATTGTTTTCATTCCTGAACATAAATCAAAAAGAGAAACAATATTGATCGTCCAGTATAGAATCATGATCAATGTAAAAAGATAATTCTGCTAAGATTCAGTACCCATGACCAGTGTCTTGATCAGATTTTTACAATCATTCACTTCTTTGGAATGTTCAACAGGAACCTGCAAATTCAAAACTGCCTGCAACCAGTGTGGTTTACCAATAAATAAAAACTTCTAGATAATTCATTTGTTGATCAGAAGAAAATATCTGAAGTTATCAGACTGCATAATGCTTTGTCAAGAGACACAAAGCCTGGTATAAAATCTAAGAATCCAACTTGGAATTATAATACCACCTATATTCCAACTTGATGCGTGAGTGGAATTTCCGTGTAAGATAATATGAGAGCTTTTAATAAGCAACTGAGTTTGAATATAAACATGTGCAAGACGATCTCACAATGGCTGATAATTCGTATTACTCAGTAAAACAAAAAAGTAATCACTGATAAGAGATGACACAAATTACCTGGACAGGAAGTTCAAGCTTCGACCTCAAAGTGACCCGATCCTTTCCCACCTCACCCTCCTCCAAAAGCTACGAATCGCAAAGCAAGAATAGGTAAAAACATCCAACAAATATAATGAATTTGAGAAAAGAATTAGCTAAAGGTTCAAGATGCCTTTTTAGTAACCTCTTAGCACCTAATTTAAAGGTAACATAAAGATAAAAAGAAATGAAATATCAAGCAAGAATACTTTTTACAGCTATTCTCAAAGACCATCTGGAAATGGAAAGTGATAGCAAGAAAGCAAATGCATCTTGCAAACTGCCCCTGAAGATCAAGTGATCAACTCAATAATAAATACACATCTTTCCCAATCTCAAACACTAGAAGGAAGAGACCAAATAAAAAGCAGCATAACTTGCCATTTGAAAATCAGTAAATCATCAGTAATAGAAGAAAACCAAGCGAAAAAAAAGTTGAACTCTTGATCACAACATTTGATTTTGAAAAGCAACCAGCATTACCTGAGGAATAGTACGCTTGAAAGTACTGAATTTCCCCACAAAGGCATCCAGGATACGTCCCTATATACAGGTGTAGCATGAGGTAAGTTAATTGACAGAGAAGCCAATTGATTCTAAAATGAACTCTCCAGTGAATTTTATACCAGTAAAATCCGTGCTTCATCCATTGACTGCTGATCAACACCTTTCTCAAATATTGGTTCTACCTGTATCAAACACAAGTTTTGATTGGAGCTTAATTAAAAAGAAACTAGTATGCCTGTTTTAAGCAGTTTATCAAATTAAACAAGACAAGCACAGTAGAGAATATAGAATTACCAGATTCAGCATCAGCCGGGCACATGTTGTATGGATGCTAAGAGAGAGGGTAGAGTCGTGCATGTTTCTTGAAAATAGGTAGATAATCCGTGATAACTGTGTTTATAGTTAATCAGAGGAATGTCAAGGAAGTACACTCACTAAGCTTGAACAAAAAAAAATGATGATGATGCAAAGAAAGTGATCAATATGTTACATTCCCAAGATTTTCCACACGCAGTGCAATAACTGCGTATTGTAATGAAGTATTTTTACTTATAACGGAACCCAGGCTATCACAATTAATGTTTAATATAGTTTAAAGCTCTGCATCAGTAAAAACCTGAGTAAGAGAAAGATCTCCGCGAACATGGTGAACGATCTCCGCGAGTAGGCTGTAAGCCAAAGGCCTCAAAGACTCAAAACATGCTCGCCCAGTTCCAACTAGAACCCTAACACAGAAGACAAAGAAAAATACCTGACAAAAGTCAATACATGTTTATAGATACTTCAGCTTGATAAATTACATGCGAACAAAAGCTGTGCTTGATTAACCAAACAGCTCCTTCAGAAATATGAAATTTTTTTAATTTCAAAAGTCATAAGCCTCATACCTCTCATCTAAAAGAGTGTCAATAAGAGGAAATAAGCCTCTCTTAAAATCCGTCCCAAGTACATGCTTTAATGAGACTAAGAGTTCCTGCATTCCATATAATAAAAATAAATCTTTAGAAGCAATCCCTTAATTGTGTCACCAGAGAACCCAAAAGAAAAAACAAAAGGTTTTCCACCTTTCTGATAGAAGCAGAATCTGAACAGGTCACAAGCAAATTTACAATGCTTTTGCATATGCTTTCTTCATGCGGTCGGATATATTCGGCGCAACTTTTTAACAAATAAGTCAAAAAAGAAACCGTCTGCAAATAAACCAAAAACAAAAGTCAATATATCATGGCATCTCCCAGTTACGAACAAAATATTTCAGATGAAACAATGAGTCGGTGTAGGCCTTGATATAATAATATTTCCAACAACGTAGAAAGCTTTGATTTCCTTCCTTACGAAGAAACGTTGTCTCACCTTAACCTGTGCACCCTTCAACTCTATGAACTGAGGCTTCAAATGAGAAGGAACATTCTCAGGTCCAGGGACAGATATAGCAGCAACCATCAGGGGAAGTAAATGAGGAATGTTGGTCTGAACGAGTCGGCTATACAGCTGGAAAAGGAACATAACAACAAGGGGACTCTCTGTGATTATCTTGAATGACCGAGTACTCGGGTTAAGCTGTCCATTCCCGATAGGCGCGGTAGGGGTAAGGGACTGATCAGAAGACGTAGGCATCTCCATAGGCTTCACCTCTTCCATTTTAACATTATCGAAAAAATGGCTGACAGTGAATCTGAAAATCGAATAGATCTTGCAGACAAAGTCTAAAAATGGTTGAACTTCATTTTCTAGCGTGGGCCTAAAATTCCTAAGAAGGTCAAAGATTATCCGAATGCAAATTAACCCGTTTTCTTCATTATCTGTAGTGAGCACCTGCATTGCAACCTTCAAAAGGTCTTGAACAAAGGGACGAAGAACCTCACTGTGTGGAAGACGATTGAGGATCTCAACCACAATGTTCCGCAGTTTGTGCTCCGGATTATCGATGAATTGCGGATTAGTAATCTGTAGAAGAATAACTGAGAATGCTGGGAAGTAGCATTTTAAGAAATTCAAGTACTCAGCCGTATGTGCTATCTCTAGACTGTCCCTGACCTCTACCACCATCTCAAGCCTTGTTGGAATAGCTACATAAAACAATTTCCCCAAAGAGAAATAATCAAAAATTAGAAGTTTTGCTTTCACAGTTAAAACTAAAACAAGAACTGAGTCGAAGTCAGACTATAATTCATACGAGAATCATGAAAATTCTGGGATTATCTCAAAACCCAAAATCAAAGGAAGCTGCTTTAAGTTATAAAGAGTGAAATCAAGAGAGAATTACGTAGGTCAGGATCCACGAGACGACGGGAGTGTTGCTCGAAATTCTGAATTGGACTCATGGTGAACCACAAAAGCGAAATAATTTACACGGCGGAGCTCTTTCGCCGATCACCGACGCGACGATCTCTAAACGCACCGTACAAGTGCCAGACTTAGGTCAAAAAACAAGTGGAATTTTAGCGAAGGCTTTAACAAAAGCTACTGAACTAGAGACAATTCTGGAGATTTCCCGAGAAACATCTGATCAAAGACCAACGAATTCGAGGAGGAAGACTATGGAAGATGATGCTTCTCTAAGAAATTTTCCCTCTCATTTCTGTTTCTCTGTGACGACTCTCTTTGAATAGTGAGTTCTGTGAACTCCAGAGGATTCATGAGATCGCCGACTTGTACCGCTCAGTTTTTATTATTTCCTTAATGGGCCCAAAAAAGGCCCAATTTAATTTCAAGAGGCCCGTGTTGCATTTTATTTTATTTTAGGAGAGGTGTTGTTATCAAGATGGTCGCATTTAGCTAACGAATATTATTAGACAGGAGCAGTGTTCTAAAAAGCGGTCTAGGCGGTCGCCTAGGCCCCGACTAGGCGCTAGGCTCTTATGCAACGCCTAGATAACCGCCTCGACCGCCTAAAATCAGACATATCTTGTTTAATGTATTTTTTATAGTTATAAATATTCATATATTGTTTAATATAAATATAAATAAATGTTTTATCTAGTTTTTTTTTTATAATTTCATAATTTTTAATTTTATATAGATATTTTATATAACTTTTATATATAATATCATATTTATAATGTTTTATGTTATAAACGTCTAAACCGCCTAAAAATCGCCTAGGCCCCGATTAGGCGTTCTAGGCGCTAGGCTTTGGGTCACCGCCCGCTTAGCGCCTAGCGCTTTTTTGAACACTGGACAGGAGCAAAAGCCATCATTATAATTTTAATTAACCAAAATTCAAGTGTAGTGAACGCTAAGAATCTAACATCCTCTAAATTGCTATATAAGACACAAAAAGTAACACTAATTCTTGTGTTATGCAATATTGATGGAAGAAGGTACGTATAATTAAGGAGAGTAATGGAGAGAGGAAACGGTTGGGGAAATGGTCGGGCGGAGATAGAGACAAAAGCAGCGTTTGGGTCGGTGAAAGAAGCGGTGGCCATGTTCGGAGAGAAAGTTTTAGCCGGAGAGATCTATGCAACTAGGCTTAGAGAGGTAACAATGTTCTATATTATCACAAATATATTGCTAAATTTTATTTTGGGAATATTTATATGTTCATAATATGTGTGTGTGTAACACATCCATAACTTGAATTGTCATTGTATATATGAATAAATGGATACATTCCCATATAGTTTTTACTTTTTACAACACATGTATATGACGGTTTCAGATACGGATAAAGGAAACAAATTCAACTCCGAGTCATCAATCAAGACTACGATCTCTAACAATAGAACTCGAGCAGACAAAACAAACTCTTACAAGAACACTACAACTTAACACCATCATGTCCAACAGAATCAAAACTCTAACACAAGAACTCGAACTTGGGAGGAAGGAGATACAACGGCTCAGCAGGACAAGGTCGAGTCGCTTAGACAATCCGGAGATTGAGGAACTCAAGTTCGTTGAACAGCATCAAACGACGACGGCTAAAGATGTTGAGGAAGAAATTGTGACGACGGAGGAGTTGGAGAAGAGGAGACTCGTGACATTCGCTAGCTCGCCTTTGCTGACACGTGTGATGTCAAGCGTCGGGGACGAAGAGGAAAGGGAGAAGAAAGAGAAGGATTTTGAGAGAGATTATTCCTTCAAGAAGACGAAATCAAAGAAGGGTTTTGCTCCGTTTATGGGATGGTTTAGAGCAACCCGAGGAAGAGATTGATCTATATATATGTCCAATAATGATAGGTCATACTGATTATGTGTTTTGATATCGTTATATAATATGGTTAATGTGATGCGATATGTATCAATCTCGTTCTAAGATATCTAATCTTGGTTCTTATATAAGATTACTGCATCTTGGCAATCTTGCAATAATCTAACCTTGGTTCTTTACAATTTTCTCTATAGATAAAAGTCTTACTTGCTATCACATTGAACATACGCAGTTTTCTTGTCAACATTTATATGTACATATTATTCTTTTGTGATTCTTATAGAAGTGTCGTCTCAGTGATATCTAATCTAGATTAATTTATGGGTTGTTGTACCGTCTTTATGATGTTAGGTCTATGTTTGCATCTAAATTTGAAACTCGTAGAAAATAGGATGTGGGATCAAAATATTTTTTTTTTTTTTGTCATATAAATTTAATATTTTTTACTTTTTTAATTTTTTTTTTAAAAAAAGTGTTGTCAATCCGACCATATACTAATTAAGCAACATGTTTTCTCAAAAAATATATTATTTTATTATATAAAGTTAACGCACAGCAATTTCATATCGCTCTACCAAAATTCTGCATAGAAAATATTAAAAGTCCACTCATACAATTTTGGATTACTTAACCGTAATATTCACATAACGGATATAAATTTTTATATTTCGGCACATTATAAAATTCAGCCAACAAAAAGTGGCAAATGGACCAAACTGATCCAAACAAGTCTTTTAAGAAAATTTTCACATAAAGGGAATCATAGACCATGATGCTACACAAGCCTCACATCTTTGCTTCTTATAGGAATTACGTACTTTGAATCACCAAAAAGCATTTAAAGATCTTCTCGGATCCGCAGAAAAAACTCATATCCACTTGTAATATAAATACATCACAAGTAAGTAACTCGTTAAGAAACATAACTACATATGTCAGTGATCTAGACCATGTGAAAGGAACATATATACGTTCAAATATATTTATCAAACAATTTTTAACTTGATTCATTCTCTCTCTCTCCTCCGGGCTCAGAATGAAGGTGGGCAATTTGGTCAAGATGATAATTTGATTATGTTTGAAGAATTTAAAAGCTTATTCGATTTGAGATCTCCTTGATGTAGACTTCTTCTTCTTCTTAAGGGTTTGGTTTCATGGTCTACACAAAGAGGGATTGATTACGTAAGCTAATCATAGGAAAAAGAAATATGAATTAGAGACGTCAAATAAAATGAATTTGTAACTTTGAGTCGGTATCTCGATCAATATTTGCAAAAAAAAAATGTATAATAAATTTTTACTCTAGATATATATCAATTGCGGAAAGAGGTTTAACTAAAATTGTGATCTTTGATCCAATAAATACATGTAAAGCTCAGTCTTGGTTTACCAAATCAAAAATATATGAATAACTTTGTTTAAATGATCAGAATTAAGATACCTTAATACATGAAAAAAAAACAATATTTTTTCCACTTGCTATATAAATAATGTTCATTAGTGAATAGAAAATCCATTGTTATCACTTACAAGTTTATAATCCGTCGGTAACAACAACATAAAAATAAATAAAAAGTTTGTATAATAAATAGCATCACATATATGTTATTTTGGTCTGCAAGCAAATTAGTTTGTTCATATGCAAAACAATTTAAATCTAAATAAATCATGTTTAGTTTCATTTTGTGGAAATACAAAAATATCTAGTCCACCTCCCTAACTAATTCGACCATTATAATTACTGGTATTACTTTTTGGACAAAACTTGGATAACAAGAGAAAGAACATATAACGAGGCAATCCAGCCAAAAAAAAAAAGAGATCCATTAACATAATTAAAGTTTTCAATGTAACAATTATGAGCGTAGTTTACGATGAAGAATTGGTTCAAACTACAAAAAATATACTCTATAAAACATGGCTGCACCAATGTCCCTAACTGCCACATTCTTGTTTTTTTTAACAGATTATTATTCTTTTTTTTGGTAAAATGATTATACTCTATTATTCTTCGTACACATTTCACAATAAAAGGACCTTATAGTTTTTTTTTTTCTTTTTCTGATCAATCGGACCTTATAGTATAATGACTAAAAATTTATAAGCAGACAGTTCCCATATAATAAAACCCATCTAATTTATTAATGAGTGTATAACATATTTTTCTCTACAGTTCTATAAAAAGCTACGGTCATTGAACAAGATCTATGACATAGATCAACTAACCAAATATTCATTTTTCTTCCTCGTGTCATTTTAGTTCACGCGGCTCGAGGATAGCTCTTTGCCTCTTTGTAAAAAAATCTCTGTTTAAGGAAATTTTGAATGACACGCGCTCTCACAACACGTGAGCCACCTTGACGCGTAATTCATATGTACTAAGAGCATGTATATGGGTGATACTCATATAGTATCATTAGGAATTTTTTAGTATTATTTATAATGTTTGTTTATTGTTTGAGATTTTTTATGATACTCCTACTAAATATGTTTGCATTGGTGAGACCGGTCTAAATATCATAAAAAAAAAATTGCAAAATGAAAAATTAATATATTAATCCTAATTATTGATCACGGTGGTTTGTTTATAATCACCACAAGTTTTGTTTATTAAGCACATGGTCTATATAGACTATAATCACAAACTCGATGCTCGTTCATGGTTTGGAACTACAGTATATATGGTTGACAAAAGAAAGTTACACTCAGCACGCAGACGACGGCCATCAAACAAGAAAGCAATGGAGTTCATGTCCACAGATTGCCGGTCACAGTTAGCATTCATTAGCTTCTTCAGCTGGGTGCTTCTCTTGATCCTAAAGAACACCTCGTTTCCATCCTATACACAAACATATACAAGTAACAATATGATTCTGATCTTGGTGAAAAGACATTGTCAATAAAGGTTAGAGACATCATATGAAACAATAACTAAATCTCATAGCTCTCTTTTGATAGTAACATGAAACACTCTTTAAGTACATATCACCAGTTCATTCAATGTAAGGCTTTGTCTATGAGAATTCCAAGCACACACATCAGCCAAAGCATTTGAAAACTTACTACAGAGACTACAACTTCATCAGAAGATATATACATTCAACAAGTTGCTATATACTCAAAAGGATTTAGCTTGATTCATAATTATTTAACAGCATCGTTCACAATCTTAAGAACATTCAACAACAATTTCAACTTTTCCCTTCTAAAAACTAGGAAACCCTCAAATAATAACAGCAACAACAAGTTTTATAGGCAACTTATACCTTAAAACAAAACAAAAAGAAAGACCGACTAAGACTGAGCTAGTAGGTTGATGTGAGCTCCTCCGTCTCCTGGTTTGCAGACATCGTGAAAGATTCTCCGTCCGGTGACAAACTTTTAGAAATCCATCGTTTGCATGACCAATTACAGTTCTTAATCCTAATTCAAAACAGTTCTACTCAATTGCAATCCGTAATTATCTCAATTCAATTCAATTTTCAGTTTCAATTCATTGTTCCTAATCTTTATTCAATTCAATTGAATTCAATTCATTTTCAGTTTCAATTCATTTTACACACACAGAAATTAACAATTACACACACTGAAAACACAAGCAATTTTACCTTTCACCTACGCAGCTTCTCATCATTTGAGAATCTGACCACTCTCACCATCCTCTTCCTCTCCACTCTCACCATTCTCATCATTTGAGAATCTGACTACGGAGGTAGCGACGGCAGGATCTGCGGAGGGAGCGACGGCAGGATCGGCAAGGAAGGCGGAGGAGAGGAGAAATCGAAATCGCCGTCTGGGATTTTTTTTTTTTTTTCTGTTTCGGCAAAACGAATTTGAGAACCAATAATACCTTGCCACGTCATATGATACCCAGTATCAAAAGTATCACTCCAGTGATACGGATCAAGCCCAAAAACAATGTTTGGTCTATTAAAAATTATTTTCTGGGCTTCTGATACCCATAAAGTATCACCTATGGGTATGGTCTAAAGATATATTCATAGTATGTACTTAGTTAATTGTATCCAAAGATTACACTGGGACATTAGTCTTCCAACACGCTCAATAAACTATTTTTAGTGATCAATCAGTGGTCATTGATGACCATCATTAACTTTTTCGTTTTGAACGAGAAGGAAAAAATAAAACATACATATCGATGGAATGCATTATGACTCGGTAAAATATATCTCTTAGATCCATTTCGATCTGTTATTCGTTTCGATTAAAAAAATCTGATATCCGTAGTTTTTTTATAAAGTAAATCAAAAGACATATTCACTTTTAAAAAGTTTAATTTATCAGGAGACTGCATAATATAAATAATAAAAAATAAAAAATTAATCTATAATTTGCATAGAAATTTGAAAACATCTTATATTGTGAAACAAATTTTTTTGTTTCAAAACATCTTATATTTTGAACGGAGGAAGTATAAATTATAATTTTACTATATTTATTTGTAAATTTTATAAATTTATGTTCATCCGATTAATTATTTAACTACTAGTTTTAACAATTAAAGAGAAATATATATTTTAATAAATTATACTATTTTGAATTAAATTCTGATTTTTTATATTAATGTCTTTATTTTTTATAATTATTTTTAAATATATACTAAGAGATCCGATATCCGACAAATAATCCAGATTTTAATAGATATCCAGTGAATTACGGAGCGAATAGATATAAGAAAACTAATTATCTTGACGGAACAAAGCGGACCACGGATACCACCAAAATCTAGTATATCCACTTTGTGCAACCCTAGTATGTGTGACAAACATTTGGAAAATTAAGGGTACAAAGAGATCGTTTAAGGACTAGGGTTCAAGTTTTTCACTACAATCTCATGTTTTGGTTAATAATTAACTGTTATATTTTTTTAAACGGTTTAAATTTTATTATTTCAAAATTATTTACGAAGTATTTAAACAACAACAAATTCTAACTTATCAATGACAAAGTTTGACTTAAATTGCAATGGTTTGCTAATAGACCATCTTGACCTACTTCGTTGCCGGTGTTACCCTCC